ACTTGCAAGAACACTTCTGGGAATAATTTTCCGCCTCCCAAGTCTCGGTGGAAATTTCCAAAATCCTCCGCGAGCTTTCCGCCAATCGGCGATCCCGGCCCATATTTTTGGCGGGTGCCTTTTTTTAAAAATAAAAATTAAGGCACTACCGAAATCACGATTTTTTTGCCAATTGAATCCCGCGGTTCGGGGTCCGGGAAAAATTCTGGAATTGTCTTCGAGCTTGAATTTTAAATTCGAGCGAATCTTCGTCGATTCTCGACTAGATCGTCTCCCTCCTCCGACCTGGTGATCTTCGTTAACTAATTGGGAGGTTTTGCGCTTCTTTTCCCCTTAACTAATATGCAAATACTCGACTAACTACCGTCGAGACTTCCCGCAGACTCCGAGGGGTCTAAAAATACCCGAAAGGACAGGACGCGAGTCGTGCCTCCGTTGATGAGATTCAACCTGGGAAACGTTAACTCCTCTTAATCAGGTTCCCCGAAAAAATAAACCCGATAACCAAAAAATTAACGCGCCTCCCCGGAGGCCTGTGTGAACTGCCCTTTACGCCCGGAACTCCTAACAAGTTTTGCGAGAGAGTTAAGCCGAATACATTTAACAGTACAAGTCCCGCCTAACTACCACGTACAAATGTATTTACACTTCCCTGAACAAAGGCCTGGTTTGAAAGTAAAAATTCCCCCGAAATAGGGGGAAAAAGATACTAATTAAAAAGTACAGCTCGTGTCAGGAATGTCAGGCCAGAGAAATGTCACAGGCAACGACAATGTATTTCCTTACTCGTGGAGTCTAAGTCAGTAATTTGGTTTACCTGTCATTTCGGTCTAGAACTGCCTCAGTCCGCGATTTAACTTCCCCGCCCTTTAATTCGGCCAGATTAAAGCGGTCCTTTATTAATCGCTTAATGTCGATTAATGATCGCGACATTGATCGGTCATTACCTAATCGAACGACCTCCAGTCACGCACCTCAATCTCGTTCCGAAAATGCGGCACAACTGTTTCGCTCCAACTCGACGCTCCAATGACATTAATCCATTGTGTAATCGGAGTTTAAGGCCGAGTTATCCTTGGATTATCCTCCCGGCATTATAAACGATCACGGAGGTCGCCTCGGCGTAATGAGACTTCAAAGATCCGGCCGCTACAGGACGGCCCCATCGGAATGGCTCTGTAATGGCAAGAAAGTGTATTTTCGGAGTTCCGAGTGCAGAAATAACGGCGCCGAGGAACCGTCGTAGCGACCTACAGAAATACTTGACCAGCTGGCATAGTTACTCGGGACCAGAGCCGAAACGTTCGACTCGCTTTCTCGCGCGGTCCTCGACGTCCACCCTGACGTTTCGCCTATCTCGTCGGTCGCAAAAGTCCGTGGTTTTTGTGAGTCGCCTAATTCCGTCCTCCCCTGAAATGTGGAAAATCTCGACGACCTTCGGGCTTGCTAGTCATTTTTGGGGACACAGCTCCGCTCGATAGACGCTGAATTTCCTGAACCGGAAGTGTCGAAAAGAAATATCGCGAGCAAAATGTCCGCCACGACCGGCGTGCCCGGCCCCTCGAAGCTGGCGGATAATTGTGAGTCGGAGGATTTTACATCTGCCTTTAAAGGACTAGGACCTCTCATCACATTTCCCATATCCAGGAAAATTTTCCTTCAAGATGTAAATTGGTTCCTTTAATGCGGGACTTTGGATTTTCTATGTCACTCGTGGACGTATAAAATATAGTGATCCGTGAATTAGGCCACGGTCGAATTAGGCATTGGGCTATTCTGGTCCTCTTTTGCTCTCTTAGGCCCTCTTACCGTCTCTCTTACGTAAGGAGAATCATTGTCACCGTGGCACTTGTCATCCGTGACACTCTAATTCTCGTGGAAGTGCCTCGCCGTGAATAGTGCGCTCCAAAAAGAGATGGAGGAACTTTCGCATCCGTCCGACGTTTCCTGCTCATTACTGACACTGCTGTGCATTATCTTCACGTCGTACCTTATCTTTAAGTTGCCCGTTTTGTACCCGAAAGTGGCAGGTAACGAGTCAGTCTTGCAACCACTCCCTACTTCGGACTAACTATCATCGGATCCCTTTCTATTGCGCTGCACCGTGACTTCTTTTTCTCAGTTGACTCATCTGGAACATTGTTATAAAATTAATATTTCATTTCGACAACCGAAGGCTTCGCATCCCAGGGCACACCGCCAAGCAGTCCTGCGGCTGCATCGGTATTCTCAAGAGTGATAGGAGCGACTACCGCGAATAAGCAAGGTCAGGGATCAGGAAATCCCCTAGGAATTGCCGCAGTCCTGCTTCAAGGAGCACAAGGTAAAACTGGAGTGCTCCTCGTGAGGGTGAGCAGGACTGGCAAATTTATGTGATCCGTTTTCTTTATTTATTTACGTTTTTAACGCCCCCTCGACGTGTGCTTTGAGCTTACGCGGAGCTGCAGAGATTTCCTGTTGACCCATTTCAAAATTGAAAACGAAAGAATAAAAAACCGAAATGACACAATTTTTCATATTCTCGATATTTTCCTTGTCGATTTCACATCTAGGAATCAACTTGAATAAAAATTTAATTACAAATATATTATTGGTAAATTCACTTTTTTCTTTTATAAGAAATGGGTTGAACAGGTACTTGGGCTGCACCTGCTCATCGATGGATACTAATTTCCATTTTTTTTTTTCAAATTCTTATCATGCATTGCCTTTAATAGTGATGGAAACCGTAATTAATACCAAAAGTCAAAATTCTGTTCGTGACGTAATAACAAATGGGTCATTTTTTTATGTCGTGCGTAAATGTGTTTAATCGAGAATGGTCTGTTGTAACACTTTGTTGACTTTGCAAACTCCTGTCAAAGCCACGTCTGGACGCTGGCGGAGAGTGGGTTTTGTTTGAAACTTTGTCGTTTGATTTGTTCTTTGCACACCGAGAGGGAACTTAAAATCCAGGACTCCTGCACGTTGGACAGGATTTTTGGAAATTAGGATCCCCCGGTGACATGCCTTACTACGCGGCGTGGTTTTTCGGTATTTTATTTCTTAGTAAAAACGATGTATATTTCTTGAGCGGTCAGAATTTACGTTACCAGGTGGAACAGAATTCTGGCGAAGAAAAGGGATCACAGGCTTTGCGACATTTCCTTTGATAAACAAAAGCATAAACCGCAAGTCGTTACCGAGTCCTCGTTTAAGATTATTTCCTCGGAGAATAGAAACGAATGGCGCGTCCACGTTTGAAATCTCTTTTCAGTCCAACGTCGCTCGCGGCTTTCTCGGCAACAAAATACGAGGAAATTAACGCGGGAAACCCTTGTTACAGAGTCTCTAATGGAGGCTAGATCAGGAAGGAAACAACCTTCGCGAAATTGCCGCGAAAACGTTAACCCGGCTCACACCACACGCCATTACGTCCTTATTGCTCGACCAAAGGACGGCCATAACTCTTAAAGCCCTCTGCGCTCCTCGGGCGTAATAAAAGGGTTAAAAAGTCCGCGAAAGCCCTGCAAGGAAAAAAAAACACTGGGTACCATGCTTCACCTCATTTTGGAGGAACTGCGTAATCCCGTGCAGAATAATTAATTACGCCGGATTAGGGAATAAATAGCGGGTCCGCCATGTTGGGTTCATCCTGGAGATGGATGCCTTCAGCCAAAATTCCAATTCTTCCCCTCCGGCATTGAAAAACCACCTGAAACAATTTCAGAACTTTCAATAAAGATATTCACTGCACAATATTAGCACAAAGACGACGCAGACGATCGACCACTTCTACGTCTAACATGCAATGTACATTAATTCCAAGCAAATAGCAATAAGCCATGAAGCGCTGTAATTAGATATCTCACCCTATGCTATGGCATTGTAACGACGCATAGATTTCATGCTGCAGCTCTAAAAATGCCATACTAGGAATTCTCGAATTATCATGGCTAATTATTATTCCATCGGATATACTTTTGGCATTCCTTTAGTACATTGTAATATCTATATCCGCAGATCTAGTAATCTTACGTTAAGCTCGCTTGAGTAAAGGTAAGCCAGCGTAATCGTAAGCAGGCGAAATGAGGTAAAAATGGCGAAGATAAGGTTGACCAATCGTAGCCGACCTATATCCACCGAAACTCCAGGAATCGGTAAGCCTCCTTCCCCTCGCAGCTCTTCGGAGTTCATGCAAGCATGGATTTATATTTGGCCCCTCTAGTAGCGTTCCCAAAACTTCTCGCGAGCCCTCGCCTAAGTTTCGGATTATGCTCACGAAAACCTGCGTACTTGAGATGCGGAACGCGTGCGGCGCTCTCCCGGGGATCGCGACATCGGCGCCTCCACCAGGGAAACCGACGTTCAACTCGGGAGAGCCGCGTGGAAACTTCCGAAGTCCCATTCCTGCGCAGGGGGAAAAGTTTCGACACTTTCAATGGGATCTAATTGTTGAACTTGAACGACCCGGACAGGAGCGTTGACAGCAACCACTTGCATCGGCGACTCGTGGTTAATTTAACCAAACGCGGTTAATTTATTCCCAGCCAGCAAATCCGTTCGAGTCAGGCCGTGCCTTAAATCGCGGCTAAATATTAAACAATTAAGACACAAGAATCGAGGGACTCAGATTTGAATGTCAAAGCCAGAGTAGGTAATCGAACGAAATTAGATCTCCGAAAAAGTGTCGAAACCTTTTTACCGTGTTTCACTCACTGCACATGGATTTATACTCATCAAGCTTTTTTCATAAGATCGCACTTGTAGATTGAAATTCGAGTGCAAGGTGTGAAGGGAGCCTGCCACGGGTATTCCACTTGACAGAATTTTCTTTTTCGTTTCCTTGTCTCATTCGAGAGCAATGCTTGGTACTTGGCACCGGGTCGATGTTAGGCTCCGTTCACAAAAATCGCGCGTACTTGGACGCGCTAACGAAGATCGACGTGCCAACAGCGGGCATGGGCTGTCAACGATCATGGTGACACGTGTCAATATGGTTTGGTTGGTTGCATGACTAGCTGGCAGTGGCAGTGGCAGTGGTTCCAGCCACAGCAGCAGTAGCAACAGCCAGAACAGCCAGACAGGGGCCTCACCTTCGTCGGCTTCCATGGTCTACCTCAACTCTAACAACAAGCCAAGTCGACACAGTTCCTCGGCCACTGGTCTGTAGCTTGTCAAGTCAATTCCCGAAAGAATCGAGCCATCGCCTGGACAAGTCTTTGCCTTCGGTTTTACCTAAGCGCGTTGTCCCCTCGTCAGGGCTCATTTTCCAGGGATTAACTTCCAGCCTTGCATTGATCTCCGTTAAATTGAAATAATTAATCTCCGGTTGTACGACGTCCATGTCACGTCCCATGTACACGAAAATGAGTCTTGATAACGGGAGAGACACCTTCCAGGACAGCGTTGCGATCCAATTTGCATGACGGTATAATTCCTCGGTAAATCCGCGGACCCTCTTCGTGAAGCTCCATCGATGATTCCTGCACAGATACAATTGATACGGTTCAGTCATCGGTATTGTTTAGGAACTGTTGTTGCGCGATTCGGTTCTTTTTATTTCTCAAATCCCTCTTTTTTAAGATCGTTGGCAGCGCCGTACGTTTGCCGCGGCCGACGATGATGGATGTTTTGTGTCTTTCTATGCATGCACGTGATCGCTTCCGGTCCCATTGCATGATCCTGCATGATCACCTTGTACGATCAGATTCCGAGGGCCGACGACAGTGCGGCGGATATAGCCAACTTGGAGCCGATTGCACCCCGAGGGAAGACGGTAAGGGTGCTAAAAGGAGCGCTAAAGGAGGAGGCCCCAAAACGCGAGCGAAGGACGAGGACGCGTGCTCGAAAATTAAACGTTGTAGCTTGTCATAAGACTTTTTGCCTGCCTTCGATCGGAGGCTCGTCAAGTCTTGGCTCGTCACTAAAACCCTCCATTTTCGGGGTCGACGACTAACCCGAGCTTGGAGCGATTCTTTTGCAACCACGTGCACTAGCGACTTTAAACTTTAAAAATCTCTTGACAGGGGTTTCCACCTTTTTGGGGTCCTCGCGAGATTAAAGTTAAATGAAAAGAAAATCGGAGCGATGAACGTGTATCTACTTAGGCTAAAATTGACAAAATTAGGTGTATCTTATAAATCGATAATGACCTTGTTCGAAGTTTCAACTCTTGTTACTCTTATCGATACAGCAGTGTTTGTTTAACTTGAAAGCGTATCGTCGTTCGTTCCGATTATTCCCCTAAATCTTCGATTACTTTTTGCAGAGTCTCTTACAGAATCCTCGCGGTAATCTACCTTTGAACTTCTGTAAATACCGGATGTAAGACTTAACTCCCGAACTTCTCGGGAACACGAAACTCCAGAACTCGGCACATTGCTATAGTTAATCGCGATGTATACCCGCTTCTAAAACGGAAGAAGCTATTAATAATGTGTATATATACATATATGTATACGTATACACGCATTGTTGTGCAGACGTAGAAGTAGCAAAGTACACGCTTGCAAGCGCGTGTACAGGCGTCGATGGTGCTCGACTTAAAGGTAAATTGTGACGATGTGAATAAACATTTGAAATATGAGAAAAAAAGAATGACGTGTTGTGCTAAATATGTTAGCGTCTCTAGGCTTTATAGCGTCTACCCGCTAGATGCGATATTAGACCCAGTTAGATCTTTCAATGCCCTCAGGAGCGCCATGCCGACGATTTTTTTTACCTTTTTCTTAAAAGATGTAACAAAAAATCGGTATGGTTCTAACAATCGATTTTGGTCAACTTATAGTAACGATACATGTTTAACTAAAATTCTTCCATCCCTAGCGATAATCATTCGCGTAATTAATTCATAAAACATGGCGCCTGAGGGACTCAGCCTCTTAGCCTCGTGTCCAGCTAGTCGCATAGACCTGGCGAATCCCGAATTACCAGAATCAAAAAATGTTCATAATTATTTGGCGTAACAAAATACATATTTTAGGTCGAAAGTGAATTACAATTTCGTCGGGCCATTAACTTTACCGCATTACTATACAATGAAACGTTTCCGTTCGTCGGTTTAATTATGCCTCGGATCTGGAATTAAATCTTCAAAGGGCTTTAGGGAAGCTCAAGGGTCCTAGACCTCTAATAGGAATACAGAGCCCGAAGGATTCAAGAGCGATTCGAGAGACGCCGTGATTCGACCGACCGAATTACCGGTTTCGAGAGAGATTTAGAGTGTTCGGGGCATTGTTCGAGAAAACACCTATCGTTTTATCAGGCTTCGCGAAATTACACGGCGCCTTTAATGCCGGAGTAATCCCGCCTAAGGCAGCCGTGGCGATATCGAAGCGACGCTTGAATCGGCACGCTCTACGGGGAAATCAACGGGTAAATTAGAATCGAGCAGACAAGTAGAGAATCGACCCTAACTCCGCTGCACGTATACAAGCCCCTGTGTAAGGATGCAGTCCTGGAGGGTCTTGTGACCCAGCCTTAATCGAGCTCGAAGCTGGCACCGTCGAACGAGGCACGACTCGCGCCTTTCTCGCATACAGATCGCGGGATAACGAGATTTAGCCGTCTCCTCGTGCAGGTGAAAGCTCATTTTACCCCGAAAGCTCCGTGAGACTTCCGACCCCGAGAGATCGTCCAAGAAGCCCCTTTTATCGCCAATAAACGTGGAAACTCGATGAGGCTCGGGGCCGACCGGGGAGTACTAACTCCTGCACAGAGAGACGACTTTTCGAGCTTTCGCTGCTCAGCGGTTAAAAAAGCAGTCTACAACTACGATTCCTTACTTCTTTAAAGTGGAAAAGTTCGGAACGCACGATTTTACAAACTTGGGGACTCCCGACGTTTGATTCCATTTTTGCCAGTGTACGGAAAGGAGGATAGGGAGACGACAGTCGATCCCTTCGCAACGCTCGACAACAAAAACGAGAAAAATTTCCTGTTTCGGAAAAGATCCCTACTCAAAAATAAACAATAACTCAGCGCAAGTAATTTCCACTTGGTGCCAGAAACGTTTGCACGATTCAAGTGCTAGTTAAAGTAGTTGGATCGAGTGGACGTTTCTAGCTTCAAGACTTAAATGAGGTATAATTCGGCTACACCGAGGCGAGAGAACACTCTTTTGGCTTTGATAATTTCATTTTGGCAATAGGGAGAACCGAGGTCCTCGGATTCTTTAGTGGCGTCCCTGGCCATTGTTATTTTTTTCCTGATTGATGAGTAGTGAGAGAAATTACGCGAATTTGCCTCTTTTCTCTTGTCCGAGTACCTTGGTCCTGCCGACAGGCGACGTCATCGTCTCTTTAATAATGTTTCACGAGAACCACCTTCTTCTCGAGGGACTCCCCTAACCGTTTGTATCGGTGTATGCTTGTAGAAATAAGAATCATGTGTCCTATCAAGACCTGCAGCCAGCTTTCGACGAATTCGCAGTGCTCAGGTAAAGCGCATTCACAGTAGACACGGCAGTGTACCCTTTGTTAATCGCTAGTAAAACGTTTCGAGTCTCGCCATCGTTGGATTACCATAGTGTCCCACATAGAGCTCCAGGTGGCACGACATTGTTGCTTTGCATAAGCAGCTTGCCACTGGAATTTTTGACGAGTAACCGTTTTCTAAAAAAAAAAAGAAAGTATTACATTCACGAATAAAAAACTGTTACTCTATGGAAATATTTCCGCAATGGTAGGACAAAATCAGCCAAGCCAATAGACGCTGCCTTCATCGACACGCTAGTAAAGCCATAGTTAGTCTTAATGGTAGATGGGCGATTAATGTAACTTTTAACTCGCTTAAAAGAAACACTTAAATCAATCTGGCTAAATCACGGTAGGAAAGCCAATAAACACTAGCTACGTTAATAGACAGAATAAAGGTCATATGCTAGATAGGCCGAATAGATCAGCTTGACAAATGCGATCACATAGTTTTAAGGCATCGTTGTGATCCCCCTTTGCACATCCCGAGTCATCCTCGTAGACCAGAATAGGATTGCTCGCATGCCACCACAAACAAATCCTTCCATGGCGTTGCGAGCCATTACATGAAACGTCATTTCTCATTAGTATAAAATCAACAGAGATCGTTTAAAAGTACATCCGAAAAGAGCCACGTGCTTTCATACGGTTAAACGGCGAAAGGATCGCTGAAAGTCATTCGCCGTTGAAAATTGCGAAAACGGCCAAGATAATAAAAACTTGTCTAATATTATTATTTCATGATCCAAAGTGATGTCATTTTACATTCTCACAGGAAGACTTAACATGCTTCTATTAACTATGCATGTATATTATAACAATTTCCAAAAACCTCTTCGTGCATAATAATAGAGGATTAATTCTGTCCACTTAATGATGTACCCTAGAATGCCGTTTTCCCATTTTTGCCTGCGAATGACAGTCGATCACTCGTTGCGCCCCGACTTAAAAAAACTCAGAGGTACAGTGCACAGCCTTTTGTCCTCCGGTCGTAGCTAAGAGCGACTAGCTGCAACTTGAATCCACGATAAGCGGTTGGACGTGCCGTATCGCTTATCAGGACTGATACAGCGGCCTGATAATGAGACCGACCAATCGATGGAGGCCCATTGGCTGTTTCGGTCAATCAGCTCTCGCGATTGCCGTGCAAATCGAGGCGCTGACTGTGGTGGTAGTAATGGTGGTGGTCACTCTATATCGCGAATCGGCGAAGCCAATGGGCGTTCGCCCAGTCTCGAGTGGTTCGATCCGAGAGACCGATCGTGAATCGATCCCGAGAGTAGAGAGTAGAATTTTACATCTGAAATTGCATTCCGCCTAGCTTAGTCTTCTCCTTGGATATTAGGCCAATGAGAACCCTGCGACTGCCGGACGACAACTAAAACAAAGGAGATGTTACCAAAGTGTCACTAGATTCGTCGCGCGTAATTTAGTCTGGACCCTTTCGCATGTGTAATTAATATCTCGGGGTTTGGAATCAATAGCATCTCGCGACGGTTTAGTCATCATAACGCAAACCATCGACGAGATGTATTTAAATCCGTTGTTACCTTTACGCTCGAAGTTTGCTCGACCCGTGATCCGTGGAAATTTCAAATCCTAGAACATAGGATCGATGGAATGTCGAAATAAGCTTTGTTGAATTTATTGTCTTGATACTTACAGAAACGTATCTGGGAAGTGGACTCGTCCCAGAGTAGACCATGCCTAGTGTAAGCCGCGACCTCGTTCCTCAAATTCAGAAGTCGAAGTCGAATTCGATTCCCAACGGCCGAGTGATCGCATTTGAATAATAACCACGCCGTTATAGGATTCGATAAATATTTACGTCCGACCTGGGGCAGCTTCATCTGAAACCGTAACATAGTATACATGCATTTAAAGTGCTACGACTTCGGGCTATTTTAACGTACATGGTTACAACTGATACCGCTATCTCTAAAAAGATACTTAAATCACGTTACTTCGACTTTCTCCTCTTCTAGATCGAAAGTGGGGACGGTTGAAATTATGGTTGATCACTTCAGGGTAGATTTAGGCACTCACTTTTCAGTAGAATATTCTAGCGATCGATCTCCCGTCATCGAAATTGCGTTCACACGTCTCTCGTGTTCTCACGTGAATATTACAAACGGTTATTCTTTCAAAAATCAGGAAACTCGTTGCACCCTGCCAGTAGTCCGTTACGCCACGCGTCACGTGACGTAGCTGCGATCGCTCGGCCCACGGCGCGAAAATTCAAATCTCGATCGCGGTCGATCCCTCGCTGCGCGCGCACCGTCGCGCACCGTGACCAGGGAAAGGAGGGGAAAAAACTGCCGCTTATCCCAAGGGTCGCGGCGTAGGACGTAGATGTTAAAGATTCGTGCATGTGGTTGTTGTGCTGTACCATGTATCGAAGAGAGCCTGACAACGCGAGAAGGTCGCGCCTCGAGATCCCGACTGACTCTGAAATGTTGACGATTGCAGCGCGCCGCCAGGAGATCATCAAGATGACCGAGCAGCTGATCGAAAGCATCAATACCGGAGACTTCGAGGCGTACACGTAAGTGGCCGGTCTAACGGAATGCAGCGAATCGTAACCGCCGTTTTTTGAATTCCTAACGGCGCTCATTCTCCTGGATCCTAGTCCAGGAGTCGGCGCTCTTATATATGTATATCATTCAAGATGACCGTATGTCATTCAAGAATATTGAAAATTCCTACTTTTGTTTGCCATTTAAAATCTTCAACAGTTTTAGAGATCACAATATTAACGGTACGGTGAATCATTGGTTACTGAATTCTGGTACGTTTAAATGGAAAACTCTCTGTTTTCAGGAAAATCTGTGATGCACATCTGACTGCGTTCGAGCCGGAGGCTCTAGGTAATTTAGTCGAGGGAATGGACTTTCACAAATTTTACTTTGATAATGGTAATTATGTCTCGTTTGCATCACTCTATTATCGCGCTCTGCACCTGAGCTTGCTTCTCGTAGTTTGTGATTATCGCAACGCAACTAAGCCAATCATATAACGGACTTTAAATGGCCGAACAATCGAAATTGCGTATCCTCCTCTGATTATGGCTGAAAGAAGCAGCATGCGTATTGCGTATTACGGATCGCTTGTTATTATTCAATAATTTATCATTTGAGAGTCACGGATATACCCTTTTACCTCTTTCTACTTTTTCCTATTTTGCCCGACCTCGAATGATTCACAAGGCCCGATTATCAGCTCGATCACGTCCCCTTCCATCTCCGTGCATTATTAGCTGTTTACGTTATACTGGCTTGGCTGTACGTTTACGAACGACTTGGAGAATTTCTAGTAACTGCTCTTTTCAATTCAAGCAGTCCTGGGGAAGAACTGCAAAGCGGTCAACACGACGATCCTCAACCCCCACGTCCACCTACTCGGAGAGGACGCAGCCTGCATCGCGTACGTCAGGCTCACCCAGTATATGGACAAGTAAGTCTGGCAATCATGAAGCAGTACAAGGAGACATAACGCTCATGGTCGGTTCCGCAGAAAGTGCTCCAGAATAAGGGCCCAGGATCTCAGATCGTCGCTGATGTAACGATGCGAGCGCTACTTGCGGAAAACGAGAGAACTTCAGTCCTACGTGACCGGAACATTTCCTATCGACGTAAATGACCTAAAATGCTTTTAATTTTGCAATTTAGATACGCAAAGCGAAACGACAATCCGCGGATGATATACAGAATGTGATGTTTTTAACGCGATAATTTTTAATTGCAAAATTTCATCGGGGAGGCGCTCTCGGCGCTAGATCAGAAAAAATCTGAAAATCCTGGACCCCTATCATGGAGACCATTTCGATACTTAGCGTTGGGTCTCCTTATACTACTTCATGCTGGAAATGTAAGAAAATAGAAAAGAACGATGACGTATTTCGAATCTGACTCTTTTGCAGACAAGGAGTAGCGCACACCCAACAGAGCGAGGAGAGCCGCGTGTGGCACAAGAGGGACAACAAATGGCAGAACGTGCATTTCCACCGAAGTGCGGTAACAGGGCCTTCCCCGTTCTCGTTCAGCCACAAATAAACCGAAGGCACCTCTCTCAGTTATCCTATGTGAATCTAGTACTAAGCTTGGCGTACCAATTACTAATTGCGGCCGGAGTACTCACCAGGTATGCCCCACCGCAGCCCGTGATTACTCGCTCCGAGAGTAAATCGGAGAAGAGTAACCGAGGAGGGAAGCAAGGAAAACTCAAGGAAGACCGCCGGAAAACGCCGGGCCCTCGGAAAAAATTCGGCACATTCGACGTATTCCACATATTCGATATATTTGATATATATTCGACACCTGGATACCGGAAGGGGATCAGCGGAGAAAGAAAAATCGGGAGAAGGCAATTGATGGAACCGTGGCCGATCGTTCGTCACCGCGACGATTCCTCGCCTCTACATCTCGATCGAACTCGCGGACGAGCCGACTCTACTCTTTACAATTAGGCTAGACGTATAAAGATGACTTCATCTGTCGGCATACCGGTTTGTCCAGTTCGATCCTTGGTTCGATCAAGCAGTACAATCGACCAATGTGCCATCTAGCTGAATTAAGGGTTTTATCGCATTCTCGATCCTAGATCACTCTCCTTTGCTGGAATTGCGCGAAATGGGGTATCCACTGGACCCGATCTTTCCTCGATCTTTCAAATTAACGGGGTATAGTCAGTTCATGTAAAGCGCACGCTATTGTACTTCCCGTTAAATTAGGACATCTCGTGTCCGCGCAAAAGTGGACCCTTCTCTTGAAGCTAAAGCTTGGAAATCTTATCAAAGCACGTGATGTTCGAGGTGACGCTTCGTTTGCCGTAATTAAATAACGTTCGTATAGTCCGGAACGTTGATAGTAAGTCCTAATGTTCTAACGGTGTTTCGAGACTTTAAAGGGGAGGTTCGAATATCTACGCAACTCGCGCGTTGTCTGCACATTGGGAGACTGTTCTCAAAATGCAGAGACAGAGCGGTCCTGCCTCTCGCTACTTACGTTAAGTAGTCGGAACGTATGCTTTATATGGATTGATCGTCGAGTTGGGTATTAAATGTATCGGAACTCGGGACTAGGGTGAAAAAGATATCCGAAATAACGAGAAGGGCCCGGCGTTAGCCATGGAGGGCGACCCTTTGTCCCGTATATCTGGCTGCGCCATGAGAAACGCGGCAATGTGTAGCTACGAGATAAATAAATTAATATAAATAAATATACATATATCGCGGAGAAAAGAGAGATTAAAAGCATTACGTCTGCTGAGATAGGAATCGGCGGGGTCACGACTAAAAGTTCCAACGAGAAGGGCCGGAAAGTCTCGATCGGTCGAGCCGGAAAACTATAATGATACGTTATCTAGGGAATTCTTAAGACGAAACGACAGGGAAAAGTTGGCGGTCGCGAGCCAGTGCCGAAAGAGATAACGAGTACATCTGTATATCGACAGTGTCGTAATTAATGTAATGTTAATAATAATATTAATAATGATCATTGTACAGAACATTCTTCCATGTCACGATCTTCATTTCCGCAGTCGCGCTCGCAGAGGCTTGCCCCCCGCAAAGTATGTTAAACGAGGGAAAGAAAGAAAAAAAAAAAGAAGCGAAAATCAGTGCTTCTTGCACTTTTTGCGAATTAGTAGCAGAGGGATAAGGCCTCTCGATTGTTAATTACCATTAGGCGCTTCTGCTCTCGCACGCGGTCTCGCAATTTGTATGTATGTACGTTCTTGGCATCGGGCTCGCAGTTGTACGCGTACGTGAACTATACTACCGCTACGTCTTTATTATTTATTGACCGGTAATTTTTATATATATACATATGTCCCCAAGAACGAATCGAGTAAAAGTCAAGCTTGCGAGTCGTCGATCACTTGAAAAATAGAAAAGATATTGTCAGCTCGAACTGTACTCGTATATGCGTTTGTTATTTTTAAAGCGGTCACTTTTGCCGGCATGTTCCTTGCGCTTTGGCTATTTGTTGCGAGCAAGGGTTAATTGCGCTATTTGTTCGCAATGAGCAGCGGAAACGAGCGGTCACCGGAATTAACGGCTTTGAAAGTAATCGATTATTATACGATGTGTCATAGTTATCTCAAGGGTGTAACTTTTTCAACGTAATTTACAATTCGTGAGCCTGGTAACAATACATATACACACGCATATAAATATACGAGGGCCCAGCGGAAAGCGGCAAGGTCCTCGCCGATTGGCCACGGTGGCGACCTAACGGAAATGACGAAAACGGATTGTACCCGCGCTCTCTGTTGTATCTCTCTTTGCATAATTAATGTTACATAGATACATATTATATATATAAATAAATACTTGAGAAAACTGTACCGGTATACAGAGAAGGATGATCGGCGACGATCGCGCGAATCTCATTAAACGGCGTTAGGCGATTGCAATTGAATTTTTATCGAATTTACTTCACTACGATGAATCTTTCTACACGTTCGTACATCCTCTACAATGTAACTGAAGTAACAAAAAAAAAATGAGTCTCCAACTATAAGAAACTAAAGGAAACACTGGTCGTGGTGTTATGTGTCCTCTCCTACTATCGGTTCACTTTATTAGGCGGCAACCCGTAATGCGACGACTCGTGCATACATATACATATATACATATTATTAATAACGAGGAAAGATATGATTTAATATATTACCAGAATGCTATATATATAAATATATAAATTAAATTTAAACGATAGTTATTTCTACTACTCTAATTCGTCGCTTCTGCGTGTGATTGTTGTATAAAATAATTATTATTGTTTTATTAGTATCGTCATGATCATTATTATTGCCATTAATATTACTATTACTACACTACGACTACTACTACTACTATCGCTATTACTACTATCCCTGTTATCGCTGCTACCGATACTACCGATGCAACCGGTGTTGAATTCGGATAGGTGGCTATCGATACGTGATTGTATTATTTTCTTTCGTATGATAATAGCATTGCCGCCATTGGGCGGCACTCCTTATTATAAATAATTATAAATACGATTTCAATGAAGTCGAAACGCTCGAAGCGGAACTCGCGTTACGATTAAGACGAACACTATTCGTTTAATTATGCGTACCATAGTTGTTTCTCATAATACGATTTTTACCTCGAGTTATCTTGCACGTTTGAAAGAGGTCTCGTTGAAAGTCTTAAGGGGGAACTACGAGAATCTCTCGTACGATTTCACACATATAATATATATATATATATTTTCTCGCAATACGCTTATCGAGTTGTCAATATTACCTGTTACGAGAGAAAAGGGGTAGACATAGGAGACGTTGCAGCCGGATACTTTTCTCCTTAACGATCGCGTTATTGTCGAAATAATCATTCAATAATAGTTAACGACAAAAATGTATTGCGAAACGCCGAAAATGGTGGTTCAATTATTTCCTGTGTTAATATCGCCTTCTCGGTTGTTCGAGGCCCGCGCTTCGTATTCTCTGTTTAGACGAAAAAGACACTTTCGGCGAGATCTATTTATCCGCGAGATTGAAATCTTCGCAGCCGCGAGTCTCGGCGTGTTCGTAGGCGAGTCGGATCATTGTTTGTATGGATATTTAAAATTCTGTAAAATGTGACTCGGTCCACGATCGCAGATTCCCCGGTCGCCTGTGAGACTCGTGAGACTCGGATGGTACCCTCGGGGATGACTCGTATGTACCGGAAGTCACCCTTTTGTGTGGTCATCGAGTTAACGCACCTTGTGACGAAGTCGTGCACGAAGTGACGACACCTTAGTCCATCGTTCGTTGTTTGGCCTAACTCTAGTATTCAATTTGTCCACTCGATATAATATACGAGTACTCTGTATTATAATAGCAAGCCTCCCTTCTTGCCACTCCTGCTAAGCCAGAGGAGACCATAGAATAAAATTAAATGATCATGACCAAAGCATATCGTTTGTCCTCGTACGATAAGAAGGAAAAGTCTGAGAAAAGTTATTAGCTTCTGGTTAAAATATAACACAATGTCAGGTCGCTAAGTCGACTGACATCGTCCGCGGTACTGTCGCCTTGATAACCACTTTTTATCACGCCAATGCTGCCAGCTCGTATGTGTACATGTCTTTCAATTAGACCGTTCTTTACCTATGAATTGTCCGTTGCACCTGTAACAATGGGAATAGAAAGAGTAGTACAAGTAATTCAGTGTCCCCTGATGCGTCGGCGAGTAATTCCCTGGGAAGGATTGTCATTAATTCAGTCAGCTTTGTTGATATTATTACATGCTTCTTTCCGCTAATTCTGGATTACTCACTACCTCCTTTTTAGATCTTTCTTCTGCGTCAAGTGGCCCGGGGAATGTCGCGCGTTATTTCAAGATTCGTCGGGGAGTGAGTGCCCCTCCTTGCGGAATTACCCGACGATGAAAAATTGCAGTTGCATTTACTTGGTCTCTTGTGCGACCGGCAGAGTGGCAAAAAGTGAAGTGGTGTGCATGAGAAAAAGAGAGCGAGCGAGTGAAATATGGAGAGACGCGGTAAATGGTCGGTCAGGGAAATGCAAAGACTTCCATGAGAGAAGAGGCGAGCCACTCGGGCGAGAAATTAGTCTGTTGACAATGTTCGTTTCTACCTTTTTACCCTAAATGCACGCCCTTCGCCTCCTCACGTTTCTCCATCGAGGACTTTTTTATTGTACATTTTCATACGATTCGTTGTATGCGTAAACTATGTACATCGTGCGAGCGGTATTTGAGGGACAGTCCGAATTGCGCATAGCGAAAGAAATATGGCCGCCGTTTGGGGCATTCGGTAAATTACATTTTCTTTTTCTTTTTACGATCTCCTTTTATCTGGCTTTTACAACTACGTGCAGAACGAGACTCCTGTTTTCCAGTGTCCTTACTTACCACACGCATTCGACTTGGAAATGGTAAAATACGAAATGCGTAGGACATTTCGTGGAACGTTCCAAGCGTCCGCCATATTGTAAATAATAACATGCGTACCTGTCGGGGAAACTATCCACTCGCAACTATATTTTAGAATATGGTACGGCTTGGTAAAGTAGTGCTGCATGATTTCGGAGAAAATCTTTCTTTCTCAAATAGCACAGAGGAGATACCTATTAGGGAATCTTTTCTTATCGGCGTAATAGGTCTATAATGAAGACCGTTTGAATAAGATACGTGGTAATTGTCGGTAACAAATAATAGTCATTTCCAAAAAGTGCAGGGCATTGGTAGTATTCGATTGGTGTTTGAATGAGAGCACCCTCGACACTTGATTAAAAAGAAAAAATAGAAAAAGGATTCTGTATAATTGTCGCATTAAATATTATATGCCCTCGGTGTTACAAGGCTAGAAACTCCTTTTACAGGAACGAGAAATTCATAGAAATAGTTCGAAGAATATTTTACTTTCGTGCAACAATCTAATAGTTAACACATGGGCATACGCATTGTTAGTCATTTTCCAAACTTGCCCGAAATGTGAGAGGGTCTACAGAGAAAGATTGATTGCGCTTATTACAGCGTGTACACCTTGCATACATATGTGAAACTGGCACAATGTTAAACGTAAATTTTTCAATATTTCTATTGGATATATTAGATAGGAAAAAGGATAGGGGAGTGCGAAGAGGAAGTCTTTCAACGGCGGTGATATATTTTTTACTTTTAGTCGGTTCTCGGTAGAAGGTATGATCGTCAATGGGAGATTTATAAACGAGAGCATTTGACGGCTGTTTACTCTGAATTGAATTTTGTAGAGACCAGGATATGTAAAAGAAAACGTAGCTAGGTATCGTTCGTGTTCTTAAATCAACGTGTAAAGTTCAACGTGCTCCCAAGTGTAAGAATTCAATTGCACAAGTATTAAAACATACGGTTGGATTTCTAGTCGCCATTCCTTGAAATTGGAAATAGCAGTAATTCCTAATCTTTGTAGAACCGCACCTACAGAAAATGCTTGATAAGAAATTCTGGGAGACGACTCGAACGTCACTTAGGCTACTCCGATTTTGATTTAACGAGCTAATCTAATTCATCATTTACGGAAGTAAATTGTCGCTATCATCACAGCTAGCATATGTAATGTAAGTACGAGTACGATAACGACGCAATGGATTTTTCTCCGTACAATTGAGATTGTACGAAGGAAAACTCGGCTAAGCGGCGCGTGAGCACGAATTGACTGTACCTCAAAAACTGAGCAAGATTTACCCTGTAATGTAATAGGCTAGAAATTATTGTGTGCAATTAGGCAATTATAAGAGACAACGCTTGGCCTTTCTCGCGCGTGTCGAAAACGAGTCGAGTTTGATTTTACGTCGTCCCGGACAGTTCGAAAGCCGGATTGGGACTTACATCAAATCTTAGATCAGTAAAATCCATATTCTCTGTGAAAGAAAAGAGACAAGAGACCGTTAAAGAAAGCTCGCGCAAAAAAGCTCAACTCCGTTCCGCCTCGAGAAGGACCATGATCGCGTTGTCGCGGACGAGATTGCCAACTAAGTTAAATCGTAAACTTTTATCGGTATTTAATATAATGCTATTATTATAATTATTATGAAATTTATGATAACAATAACGATTGATTACAATTTTGTCCTAATGTTCAAAAAATAAAAATAAATCTCCGTAACGTCGAGGAGTTTTCATTTATATCCTGGTATTTTCGACACATAAGTACGGGTGGATAAATAATTTTATTCTGAACCTTTTGACGTGAATATTAATATTTTTTTTCTCGTCGAGAAAATTTAGTTCCTCACCTGATACAATTTCATTTTTAAGTCATTACCGCCCAGGGTAGGTGTAGTAAAGAAAGCTTTGGGAAGTTTCGACGAATAAGAAACTCGGCCTTGACGTTCCTTCAAGCTTTTATTATAAACAAAATCTCTACCATATAATACCATTCTGTAAACGTACCCATATTAAATATACAATCGAAAAGCTTCGCGACGGAACACTCTGTTAAAATCCTATCAGAACTTCCACTTGCTCGAAGTACTGTCCTTAGTATCTAGAATTATATTAATCATTGGGGCTATTCTCCAGAGGCAAGACTACTGGACGACTTAGGCTTGAGACTGGTTGTTCTGAAACTATTTTTAGAGAGCAATCATTCAGGGACTAAATACGCATTTAATTCAATCCGAGTACATGTCCTTCGGTTGTAGAATAAAAATATATTGGAGACAATTGCAAATCATTTATGTTAACAAAAAATCATATTTACATTTGTTTAATCGTCTTTATTGTTTTAATTTTAATGAAATAAGCTTCCTACGGTTTTATAATTTACCAGGATAATCGTTGCCTCGAGGACGTTATCTAGAAATTCAAGGTGAAGAAATACGACTTTAACGGTGAAATAACAAATACTTGTCCCGAAAAAAGTTATCCTCTTTGCGTACACCCCTTGCGTAACTATTTTATGAGTTTACCTACCTATGCACTTCTGTACTTTTGTTTCACTCAGTGTATCAGGAATTACATTATTGCATTAAGGCACGCGTTTCGCTCAACGAGGGACACGTCGAGATTCGAGCATCTCGGAAAAAAGCCTTCCTGAGATATGTATGTCCTTCAATCCTACTCACGTGCGCATTTATGTATAATGTCTACTTGAGTAGACTACAATTAAAGTCTACCTCTGGAGGACGACGCCTTATTGTTACTCACAACCGTTACTTTAAAACGCCGTATTGCACTCAAATTTGTCATACTAAGTTTAAAATAAAAAACAAACAAGAAATACAGGCAACAATCCGATGCACTATGCTTATCGGCAGACGAAAGAAAAATGCAAAGGTAAGGTCAACAAGGTACCAAGCTTGAATATTCCTTATCTCTAGCCGAACGAAAACGCTGAATAGTAAGAAAATTGCGAAGTGAGAATTATTTTCCTTTAGTATTTAATATTTTCATTGGTCTACGATTTTGCAAACAAACCTACGCAGGGCGTGTTTTTATGTTCGGATTTACATACCGCGTTAAATCTCTTCTTTCACGTGACCATGCTCGAATTTCTAAAAATGTACGAAATTTGTAATTACATTAAATTCGTGGAACGTCCCGTGAACTGCAAAAAAAAATCATTAACAATAACGCACCGCCAGTTCAACTTCTTGAAAAAACAATTGTATACAAAGAAACGTTCCATAAAGTCGAAGCTTGAACCTAGCTAATACTACGCAACTAGTTATCGACCAAAAATTCATATTCCAAACATGAGAAGTGCATTAAGCCAAATTTACTCGTATGACAAACACGCGTCTCGATTTCCATGACAAGAGATTTAACGCGATCAGTGCTCTTCCCTTAAACAGATTTTTCCCGTGCTTGTCAAAGCAGCTGTCAGGCCGTATATTGTAACAAACTAAGCATCTGGTGCCGAAAACAAGAATCTCTTTAGCCACCTCTTAACTCATCGGTTTCATCGCCGCTTCTCCTCCGGATTCGAGTGCGTCCTATAGAACAAAAAATCCTGCTTTAACCATGTATTTCGAATCCTTACAACAATGCACAAACGTGCAAACATATAGTATCTCTTGCAATCAATTGCTACGTAATCCATTTGTCGGTACCTCTGCGTATTTGGTTGAGACAGGCCAGCATTCTAATCATGAACACAGCAGGAACAGTGATAGTGTCCTTAGTTTCCTCCAGCATGACAGCGTTCCGCTTTTTAAGCTATCATCAAACATACGTGTGTAACGTGAATTCCTCTCGACAAAAATTCGTAGATACTTCATTAGTCAATAATCGGCATGAAGATAAGCCCAAAGAAAATAGATACGAAGCGCTTCAAGATTAGGCATGTGAAGATCAGGTACTACCGGTGTACCGTACCACTCTTACCGTAACAAAGCCAACTTACGTCTTCGGCGAATTTAGTGTCAAAACTCGATTCTTCGTTTAACGGAGCCCAAAGTTTGACGTCGTAATCGATTCCCGACGTAGCCAGCATCGGTAAATAGGGATGCGGTTGCAGACAATTAACCACGTGCTGATCGGCCTCGAGAAGCATGCACAGCTTGGCGCTTTCCCGTTCCCAGACGAAGACGTGGCCGCAGTCACTGCCGGACATGACGTAGTCGTTGCCCCAAAAGTTGGCCTCTTTGATCATGGTCCTAAAGAAACTAGAGTCAAACCAGGGAAGGATGACCGATCAGAAAGTTGGATGGGCTGATTCTAAATGGCCCAGTCCGATGGAGGCTTTGGCGGGATACAATCTCGCTAAATTCTCGCTTCTGCGGCTTTCGTTTCCGGAGCTACGTTATCGTAAGGTGTGACGTCGATGCTCGGCTTACGAGTCTCGTTACTACCGCACGGTGTTACCGCAAGAAACAGGGATGCATGTTGTTAATCACATATTAATTTATATGATTAATTCTAGAAGAGTTCAGTAAGGGTCCTGTACGGTTTTACCGTGGAACGGAATCTTTTCGCTCCTTCGACCGTTCCGACGTCTTGTGGCGACGCCGTTGGAACGATTAATTAACAAATACTCCCTACAGGTAAAGTGTTTCGTGTACCTGGCGTTTCGATGACCCATGTACTTTTGTTTCACGCGTAGCTCGGTTAAACAAGTCTCGTCGAAGCTTTCGTGATCCTGGGACGCGCGAGCGCTGGCAATGGCTTCGTCCATCTCGGTTTCGATTGCGTTAGGTATTCTGAAATAAAAAAATCGTACTCAAACTTCTCGATACAATGGAGTATACATACAATCGATTTAACAAATAGGCCGGGACGACTGTGTACCTTCTGCCTGTTTCCATGTCCTCATCGTCGCTATCATTATACGTCTCCTCGTCAGGCTCTGAAAGTATAATAAAAAGATGACCGTTTCAAGAATCCTTAGTTTCAGTATTCCTAGCCGAGTACTTGAATGCTCTGTACCATTGTAATCAGACTGCTTATGCCCACCTGTGCTCGGGCCTGCATTGGACACGTCACTGCTTTGACCCTGACTTCCAGACGGTCCTGTAATCGATGTATAATCTGTATTTAATTGCTTCCCCTGCATTTTAGATATCTTTACAGCCTCTAAATTAATTGAACGTAGCAATTTAGAATTTCCGGTGATATTTACCCGGGTGACCTGGATGATAAGAATCACGAATCATCTCGTTTCCCACGCCTAAAGAAATGGTAGCACCCGTCGAACTCTTGTCTGAATAGGTTAAGCTCACTGCTGGTTCGCTGCCATGCCTAGGATTTTAAAGAACGTCAGATCATCGACATAACATAAATCCGTTTATAATATTTTTTACCTTTCTAGGAAGCCATCTCTCATGGTCGTTAATCTGTCTTGCAGGTTTTCCATCATATTTTCGTCCTGGTTGTTGTCCAGGTTCGCGGTTGACGGTTCTTCGTCGTTCCTGGGACTCTCTCCGGCACTGTCAGCTCGGGATATGCTAAGAGATCTCAAGGATTGGATAGAAGTTCTTGAAACTTCAGTGTGACTAGATTCGGTATCCATAGGAACATCTGCAAACTGGCTTTGTGGTCTGCTTTCACCGAGTATTGAATCTGGAGATGTCATATCACGGTTATCGGTAGTATCATCGGGTAATCGATCGCATTCGAGTGGTCTTTCCGATGCTTCGTCTCCCCGAGTTGTATCAGTCTCGCTAGTTGTTTCTCTAAGTCTTCTGCTCTGGTCGTTGTTGTCAGCCGTATCATCGTTTGTAGAATTGTCTGGAGTGACATTAAAAATAGTTAACACAATTGTACCTTATCAAACACGTCCAAAGTATCGCGGCTCACTGCTGTTAATTAAAATGAACTCACCGGAGGCAGCCTGTGCCCTCTCGTTGGACTCTCTTTCAGAGTCGTCGGCGTTAGGGCTTCTTTCTTCATTGGTCTCTGTGTTATTATCACTACTTTGTTGATTACCCTCTACCTGCTGATCGATTACACCTTCAAGACTGTCTTCACCTCCGCCACTGAGAGCTGCCCTGGTTGCAGGATCATTTAACATTCTGCTCAGAACATCCGTCATTCTTTGCATCAAAGATGTATGAAGAACTGGCCTCGCTTGGGCGATCTCTGATATGAAAAGACAAGTGGTCAAAGAAGCGTTATTATTTCCACTTAGGTAAGATAGCCAAAATGTTATATGACTTCATTCATTGAAAAATCAACATAATTTCAGTTTAAAAAATAACATACCTGTTCCATTTCGACGACCGCCTTCTCGTTCTGGCCGAGCATCGGGTCCAGTATCCGACCAATCACCTCTTAATCTTAAACGACGGACTGGCTGTGGTGATCTCAAAGGATGTTTCTTACCTTTGCCCTTACCAACTACAGAGTCTTTTCGCAAATGCACGCTGCCTTGATCCTGTAAATAGAATATAACTTTAAATGTAAGTACCAGTTTGGTTATTTCGTGAATGATAATTCAAAGGGCCTATAGAATTATAATAAACCGCAGTTCATGTATTTTTTAATATAGGTACTCACTTTTACACTGAACAAGTAGAGATGATCGCTGCTGTAACTTACAAGTACATCCTGACCGTCTGGACTATAACTCAAAGAAGTAATCCTGTACGAGTTCCCTTCAAACTCTGGTACTGTAAAACTACAAAGGGGTCTTACTGCTCCACCGGTGTCTGTCCATCCTAAAAAAATATTTTTCATGAAGAATATATTGAGATATATGATAAATACCATTAAAGGTACTTGATAATTTCATTACCTGTTGCTGGTGTGCCAAGCATCCTCCTATCGAACGTTCTTACCGTACTGTCGGAACAACCGATCGCCACTTGATGAGGCACTATAGGATTAACGGATAGGGCAGTCACGGCTCTTTGGCATGAGATCAATACATCCTGACAATATTAAATAATTCCATAACGTTAAATAATGAAAACTGGTTTGCAATGTCTATTATTAAAACAGTGTTAGGAAGAAAAGAAAATTACAAATTTCATTCACGTACCTCTCTACATCTTGTAGCACTACATTTATCTTTCACCCTAAGATCGAACCATCGGACTGTACCATCCTCCCCACAACTAAGAAAACTATGTGGTTCTCCTGGTATTGTTGCAATTTCATAAGTTGTCCCACTATGACATGTGAACTGATTATGAAAAGTTTCTGTTCTTCTCATTAAATCTAGAAATCAAATATATTTGTTAAACACTGTTATTTGAATTCGGAATTAAATCATTTATTAGCAGTATTTTTACCAGTGTACAGAATTATGCCATCTCCACTGCACGAAACAATACGATTATCTCCGCCATCAGGCAAAAATTTGGCACTAAATATATTTGCTCGATGGCTGGTCTTATAGTCTGTTAGAACCTATGACAGATAAACAATTGCATTTCAATTTTTACAAAGATTTCAACAAATGTTTAGACATGAAAAGTATTTATATAAAACTAATTCATAATTGCTCTGGAGCTTATTTCAAATTAACCTTTAATAAATATACTGTACATTTTTAATATACTAATTTTCTTATTTATTGGGGCTTATAACATCATCATTAATTTCAGCCAGAACCATTAAATAACCTAATAGCTTAGAACTTCCGTGACAATTTCCTATTTGGCTGAAACGCAATATTACGTAATTTGACCAATACAATGAAAAGAGCCATAAAGTAAGTCTAAACACAACGATAAAATTAGCAATGGATGACTCGGGAAGGTTTTCATTCTATTTGGCAAAGCAGTCGTGATTCTATCTATGTCAATGTTAGGCCTTGACAAAACGTGTCACAGATGTCAAGAATTCCCTTGAAAAGGGTCATGTTCTATGTTCTTGAAAATACCTGGCTAATACCGCAAGGCCATGCCAGCTTAAAGTTTCTTTAACTACTTTTTCACCACAAATACTACTACCATTCTATACGAGAAAAATAAGCTGTCATCATTATTTAGAGTTCTGAAAGAAAGCAGAAGCACATTTTAAATGTGCATGTCTCCGGACGTATCTATATCTCAAGGATGGATGCAAAAATAACCTTGGCACAGGATTTCACAGTCTATAAATAAAATGAGAATTAAGAGAGATAACGAGATCACTCATGAAATTAAATATACGTTTTGATCATTCACTGAAGTCTACCGTGACTCAGCAAAATACGGCTCTCACGCGAAAAATAAAGAGCATTTCTGTCAACTTTTGGATGAAACAATGAACTATTTTTTCATTCAGACATTACACAGTTAATACATATACCGTTCCTATACCTGATAGTTGTAAGCATTAGTAAGGACAAGATGTTGATCGTCGCTGCCAGATAGTATCAGCTCTCCATTGCTGTTCCAACAGATAGAATTAACGCAGCCATTATGGACCTTCAGACGCCTCAACAATGACATACGTTGCAGGAGTTGCAGACTTGCTGTAATAGGGGAACATCATTAGTGAGACTACTCGTCAAACAATTCAAGCCCCTCCGAGCAGTGTTCGCTTTGTCAAAGAGGAATTAACGGACTTGGAGAATTTGTTACCTTTACTGCTGGAATAAAGCTTGAGTCTGGTGTAGTCATCGTAAGGTTGATTATAAATGTCGTGAAAAATACTGGACTTGGTCCACCTCATTATTTAGGATCGCTTAACGGTGAATTCAAAGTCGAAGCATAAAAGGGCTTCCGTAGGAGTCGAAATTTCGAGCATCCAAAACGAGTAGCAACAGGACGAAGACCGCCAGGAGGGCGAGCGTTACATCGAATCAGAAGGCGAACGGTATTTCGCCGAGTTGCGAAAATTCGGGAATTTGACGCGCACCATCTCAACGTAATACTAAAAATAAACGGCCACGCTAGGAAAAATCGGGCGATTAGCGAGTCACGATGAGAATACGGCCAAGAGCAGTGAAGCACACAAGAACAGCTGAGCGAATGTACACAATGGCCAACGAACCAGTCTTGCCAAACGGCGCACGACAAGTTATTGAATTTATTCCTGTTGCTGCACTATCCATGCCAGATCGAGAAAAAAAGGGGATAAAAACAAAAAACAACAATCGTACAATCTCACTGATTAGGGAAAGTAGGCAACTAATTAGAATTTACACTTTTCATCAAAGTATAGGGAGCTTAGGGGAATAAGAACATACCCATTTTCAGAAATAACTAGACTACGACGATTTGAGTTTCCATTGGAACGAGAAAATGATTGGCCATGTCTGTTGTAAGTTTTAAGGTTAGGTACATACATTCATCATAATTTTAAACATTATAAACTTGACAATTTCTATAGAGGAATGGGAGGAATGGAAGATATGTTTACACGAGAGTTAACCCTAGATAGTTGTAATAAAACATTAACGTTTTATCAAAGGGTAGTTGGTGATGTAAGTAGCGTAGTGTGGGATGCATCCATCGTTTTAGCAAAATATTTAGATACATTAGCTGCAATCGACAGAAATGGAATTAATTGGCTATGTGGCAAAATAGTCTTAGAACTTGGAAGTGGCCTCGGATGTGTGGGGATGACTGCTGCTTGCCTTGGGTAAAATTTTATAAAAACTCTAAAGGAATTGATGCATTGGATATAATAAATAATATATATCTGTATATTTATAGAGCACAAGTTTATTTGACTGATTTAGAATCTGCTCTACCCATGTTAAAATACAATGTTAAAATGAATGAAAAATGGAAGGACTCTGGAGGTAGCGTTATAGTTCAGGCTCTAGATTGGTGCACAGATTTATCATTGAACACTAAACCAGATCTTGTGGTTCTTGCCGATTGTGTTTATTATAAAGAGGTATAATATTTTTATGGAAATTCTTATAATTTTTATAGTTTCTATACAAAATGGTTTAGTGGTATTTATAGTAATGTATGAACAAATATATGGCATTTTTCATCAAGTGTTTGCTAATTAAAATATATTTCATTAGATCATTAAAATGAGTACTGTACAAATTTCTCAATGTATATACTTGACTGTTTCAGTCCATTAAACCATTACTGGATACTTTAGATACAATTTGTAAAGGAGACAAACATTCGGAAATAATATTTTGTCAGGAAGAACGCAATACTCCGGGACAAATTCCAATATGGCAAGAGTTTATAGATCAGTTGAAACTGAGATTTAATGTTGAACGTATCCCATTATCTGAACAACATCCAGTATATTGTAGTTCGGATATTCATTTAATGAAACTGTCGAAAATTTAGTTGAATAAAATGTACAAAAGATTTTTAGATCCACCCTATCAGTATTTTGATGATTATCTCGAAATCATTTAACAATAAATTATATTTTAACACAAACGACTAAAGAAGAAAATTTGTATGAGATATGGGATATTCTTATTATTTTCTAAATAAAAGCAATTTTATAATATAAATTTAAATTTTCAAGCATACATAATAGCATAAATCATTGAAACTGCAATGAAATGATATTCTGATAATTTACATTCTGTTATTTTGCACACACATAAAAGTGAAAGTTATGGCATAAAACTTAGTGTAATAATTCAGAAAGTAATATATCAACCATAGAATCATTCATGTCATTATCAAATATGTATGTAATATGTATAAATCTGGAATGGGATGGGTAATCGCTGCAGATTCATAGAATCTAATACTTCCTTGTCTTGATGTTACATCTACTCCGACATATGCGATTACTATTGTATTTGTAATTGTTGTAATTGTTCCTGAAGTTGTGCAAATCGAGTCTGTAACGTACGTTCACGTTCTGTCTGTCTATTAACATCTTCTGCGAGTGCATTCACTCGTCTTGGTATTGCTGCTTCTTCCTGAGATTGTAAGAATTTAAATGTCGATAGTTCAAGATGAGCCTGCTCAATTTGCTCCCACAGATCGTGAAGTTGTTTTGTCAAAACTTGCGCACGTGTCTGCAAAAAGATAATTTGGAAAATTATAGATGAACAAGTGAATTAATATAATGCAATTTCAATGAATTTTTTTTACCTGATATCCACCAGTAAGAATTTTTAATTTTTTCTCCATTTTAGCAGCTCGTTTAGCTTCACCAGTCATGTGTACACGATTCTCCTCCAATTTCCTTTCACATGCTTCCACTCTATCTTTTTTCGAAGCTAAAGTAGCCCTCGTGTATCGTTTTTGAGTATCCAAATATAATATCTGTTAAACATCCCATTAAGATTATTAATTCCCATTTTATTAATTTTGTTTTCAAGAAAATCATATTATTCTCCATGACAATACCTGTGATAAACATTCTTCCCATACTGTAGTGTACGCGTCTAAGCTTAATTCTCCATGTGCCATGCCCTCCCTTACAACTGCCATTTCATCGCACAAAAGCTTTTTGGCCTATGCAAATAAAATTGATTCAATTAATTATAATTCTGACATTACCTGTGTCAATTTAGAGTCTATAATTTACATACAGCAGTGAGCTCATCTGGTTCATAATTAACATAAGGATGTTGTTCTAAATAGCCTTGTGCCTGTGCTAAAGAAGACGCTCCACGTTTTGTGTTTGGTACCATCGGATTCTGCATTGCATCATATTGAAGCATTGTGATCATTTCTCTTTTGATTAGCTCTTCAGCCTACAATTAAAATACATGTCAACTGAAATAAAACTATTAGTGAAAATACGAAACAGTCAATAAATTACCCTCTGCAGGTCAGTCAGTGGAGAATCCATGAATGGCCTCAAAACATTCATATTTACATCAACCGGACGTGGTAAATCTCGTTGTATTACTTGCGACCTTTTTGCTAAATCCTTTTTTTCTGGAAAGATATCAATGTAATGATTACTAATGAGATAAATTAGACGTTCAAGTCAGCCATACTGGTTGCATCTCATTGAATTTAAATATATTTTTTTAAATACGTAGGCATAATTTTGAAAGCGTACTTTGTTCAAGCAATTCTTGTTGTCGCCGAGCATCTACGTCAGCTTGATCCTCAACTACGTTATTAGCTGATATCGGTCCATTCTCCTCTGCATTTTCCCCTTCAGGTACAACTATCTCGTAGTCATTACGAGGTGTAGGCAATGTACTGAGACCAGCGCGTAATTGCTCCTTTACCTAAGTATTAGTGAATAATAATTCAACTATTAATATTTAATTTTCATTAATAAGAATTATAATTATAACGCTCCTAATGGTTTTAAATAAATATATATTTTTCGAAGTCCTACTTGTTTTTGAACATTGGGTGTTTCAGAACCTTCTAATCCATCCTCTGGATTAATACTAAGCTTGTCACGAACTGGTGTAGGCGCTATTCCTCCACCTTGCGATCGTACAGAAGCTGGAGTATTAAATGAATTTGCAGGTGTAGCATCACTTCGTTGAGAACGAAATGGTGTTGCCAGTACAGTATTCGGAGTGGCTACGGCATTTGCTACTGGAGTAACACTAGTGAAATCCGAATTATGAAGTGGAGTATTTAAGCCACCTGCAAAAGTCAATTTACTTCATGAACCTTCTTTTGTGTGCCATTTGATAAAGCAGTACCTTAAATTTTCTTATTATTAAAGAAATTGTATGTGGCGATCATTTGTCATAAATTACCTTTCAATGGTGTATCAACGTGTGTAAGAGCCATTACATTTTGGGCCTCTTGAAGCACTCTGTCTGTAACAGCAGGTGTACGTGGTGTCACTGCAGCATTTGGCGTCAATGAATAATCAGCAAGCAAACTATCGGACAAAGTTACACCACTTTCAGATGCCACTTCTCTTGCAACCTAGAATATAATTTAAAAACATTTATCTCATCAAAGGAACACAGAGTATCAATAATAAAACTACATAAATTTAATTCATGAAAGTCTTTAAGAAACTGGGTATGAGAATGGCTTAAAATATAAGTTTTACGTTTCATGCACCAATAACTCGGTTTACCTCAGATGCTCGCCCAAGCTTGACTACTTGTTGCAATTCTTGATCAGAAATTTGTGGTTCTGGTAAAACAAGTTTACTCCTTTTTTTAAGAGGTTCTTGATTATTAAGCATTCCCATTGGAATGTCATTTTCCTTCCTCTGCTTTAATTTCTGTTTATCTTTCCGTCGTTCCATTTCTTCTTTATCTTGTCGTAATTCTCCATCTAAATGCTGTTGCCGCATTCTAGAAAAATCAGCAGCAAGTGGATCAACGTGTTCATTAGATGTATCATAAAATCCAGGTGCAGGTCGCTTTTCAAATGGTATTTCAGTATTGTAATTAACACCACGTTTGCGTTTATTTTTTTGCGAAACCGTGATTCCTGCAGCTCTTAATTCCCGGCGTTTTTGCAGCGCCGCAAGTCTGCGAGCCTCCTCCAGCTGCTTTTCGCGAGCCTTTCTCTTTGCTTTTTTACCCTGAGTGTTTGCGAGTCTAGCACGAGCTTCCGAAAGCATTTCCAATTCTGAAAACATGTATTACGCTATTATTAACAAAGAACCTACTACTAACCTACCTACTAAATTGCTGCACAGCACACTTCAACTTATATTGTTAAATATTCACTGGACTACTTACCATCTTCATCCATATCTTTTGGATCTGGACGTGCAGGTTTTGTTTCAGGATTTGGATCGATCTCACCAGGTTTAAGCTTACGAGGGTCATCAGCTGCATCCTCTCCTTCTTCCTTCTTTTGAGCTTGATCTCTATAAAATAAGCCAAAAATCAGTACAGTACTTTCACATAATTCGTGGACTAAAACTCAAAATATTGAACACTTACAGTAGATATTCGTATCTTTCCAAGCATTGCGCAGCAGTACGACCAATGATCGGAGCTATCGTACGCCACTGAGTAGGCATCAATTTTGCTAAATGTAGAAGCTTCTCGTCTTCCTCTCGACTCCATTCTGTCTTTTTAATACTTGGATCTAACCACTCAAACCAACGTGCTTTGCACTGTTTCGCCGACTTCCTATGCAGCAATGATGCTATACGACTCCATTGGTTTTTCCCATATTTCATCACAGCAGCCTTAAGAATTTCATCCTAGAAGCATTTATCATTAGTTCACAATTCTTAAAAACAAATTTAGTTAAAGCCTTGTTTATTAAGCATGTTGAGTATAGTATCTTGAATAACCGCATCAGAATGGAAGAATATAGGTTACGATTTTCATTCTTACCTCCGTATTGCGCCAAACGCCACCCTTTATCATAATACGTGGCATTTTTCCTGATAATTTTCTCACCGGCCTTTTTTAATGCAATATGAAAAATAACATGCGTTATTCTCGTTACTATGAATCCGAAAAACCGATCATATCGCTTCGAAATGAATTACACTCCTACACTCTTGGCATCACACCGCTGACGACTTGAAATAAAAACGATTTAGAAAAGTACTCATAGGACGGTTTGACTACCCAAGTTATGCGCTTCTCGTGGTGATCCTACGAATATGAAATATGTCTACAAATTGTTTACAGATGGCAGCATAAGATGCGATAGTGTAAATCGTCTTATGAACAATCTCCCTAGTCAACTTCATAAAGCAAACTCCCAACTCATCTCAGGGCGTTTTATTACGTATTTTTGACGAGTACTCTCACTTCTCGTACTTCCATCTCACGTGGGTTTATTCACCGAATTACGTATTCGCTAATCACTAGCACTTCTGGTCTAGTAATATTACAAATAAAGGTATTGTAAATTGAACCTTGTAAATCGAACATTGTTGGAGGTGTGGGTTATAAGGTTTGTTCGTTTTGCCTACACTTACTACACTTTTACGAAAAGTGTACACTTTGGCGTTCGTTTTGACGGAAGGACGGAGTCTGTTATTAAGAGTCCATGGGTTTATAGTCAATGGCTCGTATTGCATCCAGTTTCAAATAGAGTCGTCTCTCTCTCTGAAGCAGAGACCCACTTTTCCCTATCTCATGCACAGTTCATGGTTAATGTTGGTATATATGTCGTCGATGATTGTCTGTCAAAAATCTATAAAAACGTGTTGTCTATTCGGCGAGAAATAAAATTCAAATCATAATATCGCATTATTTAGTAAAATACGCGGTCGAGAGTAAAACAGACCGAAGACTGCATGGACGGGAATAATACACCACTATATGCAAGAACCGGTTCTCTAGTCGGTAGACTTTACAGGCTGCATGGATAGAGGGATGGTATTCAAGTGAAAGTACGAGAAAAGGTGTTCAATTTAACGAAATTCGCAAGAGATAAGGTCGAATTTTTCGGACTCATCGCAGAGATCCAACAAAAATAATGGAAAGGCCTAATGAATCCTGCTGTGGCGGCTACGGACGGTCGTTTTGCCGCCTAACCTAATTTCAAGTAGACTTCACTTTTTGAAACCAATGGAATCCGGGTCGTGTGGTGTCAGCGGTAATAACGTTCGTTCGAAGGTTCCCGTCTCGTTAATAAATTTTTGAGCAACCCTACGCGATGGCTGCAATGAACAATTGGGGCAACTCCTGCAGGCTGTGCTCCGAGGAAAAGACAGAGATGTTACCAATCTTTGGAGACGAGGGTCTGCAGCGAAAGGTTGCACAAAAACTGAGAGCTTGCTTGCCTGTAATGGTATACAAAACCGATCCATTGCCTAAGCAAATTTGTCAGTTCTGTGCGGCTAGACTGGACGATGCCTATGAGTTCAGAGAATATTGTTTAAGCGTTTATAAGAGTATGTACATCAAATTGTTAGCAATGAAGGACTTGGAAGCTGTTCATATATTCTTGGATGCTATGAAAAACTCTCCTGACCCGTGTCAAGTATGTATAATTATCTTTTGCAAGAAATAGGAATCTGCAATAGTCCTTTTACATTATGTCATTTATGCTGCTTTCTTAGGTTCAGCTGTGTAGTGAAAAAGCTCGAGCTCCACCTCCATTGGTACCTCTACCAACGTCACTGCCATTTGAATGCCCATCAATTCCTGTTAGTAATCCACAAACAAATCCAGTGAATAACGGTGGTGATCCTTTACCAGAATTGCCTTGTGAAGTCCAAATAGAGGAGCCCTTGTTTGTCGATCTCGGCTCGAATTCTCATTTAAAAGAAAAATCTGTGGATCCACAGAAACCGAATAATAACGATGTTATGGTCATCGAGACACCAGAAAATGATGTAGTTCTGTTAGATGATCGATTGGACGAAAGGAAAAGTCCTGAAATAGAAGTTAAGAAAGAAGAAAAAAGAACTAGTATTTTGGAGCAAGTGTTAACAGGGAATTTGACATTAAACGATCGTAAAGAGTTGACAGTGAGGTCAAGACTGAGTTCGAAATGGTGGTGTCCACCTTGCAATAATTATTATAGGTATGCTATCCTTGCATCTTCAATTTTGGATTACATTTGAACCTAAGTTGTAAATTAATGAAATAATATTTGTGTTTCCAGAACAAAGGAGAGTTTGATGAAACATTTGAACAGTTGTCCACGAGTGTATACATGTAAAAAGTGTTCATTAGTTTTTGCTTCTGTTGAAGAGCTTGCAAAACATGAAGGCAGTGATCATCTTAAAATTACTTTGGATTTTGATGAGACTGTGAAAGAATGTCATCAATGCGAGCGTGAATTTGTCAGTTGGGATATGTTAAGGCATCACAGGTTACGAGACCATGTTGCCGAATCTATTGAGATTGGAAGAAGTACTTGGTGTCCTTTATGCAACAGGTAATTATGAAAAATGCAAAGTTGATCAGAAACGCTTAAAAAAATATATATATTTGTGCAAGTTATAATATTTGTGTTATCAGATTTTTCCCAAGTATAGACTGTTTCGAAAGTCACAAACAGCTTCATCAACAAGCTGTTTGTCATGTAGCACTGCCATCTCTGTCCATTGAATCTGTTCCACAAAAAGAAGAAATACCTAAAGTGATAAAAAAGGAACACGAAAATGTGAAGTCATTAACATGTCCTACTTGTGGAAAGGTAATATATGTTCATAATGCTTATCTATTTACCATTTTGTGTCATTGATTGCTTAAATTATTGAAAATTGTTACAAATCATTTGTCTTGTATTTCCGTGTCATAGGTGTGTACACAACAAAGTGCATTATCAAATCATATGCGTACCCATGAACCGAAGAAACATAAGTGCGATATTTGTGGTCGTTCCTTTGGACTTTTCATTCGATTAGCTGCGCACAGATTGAGTGAACATAATCAACAACCCATAATGACACCTGTAATGGCAAGTGTTGAACAAGAAGAAGCACTTAACGAAGAACGAGAAGCGCGAGAAGCAAGGGAAGCTAGAACTCGAGGAAGAACTAGAACGTACTCTGAGGTTCGAGTAACAAAATTGCTATTCGTTGAATATTATTTAAATATATTAACGCGTTGTGGATATCACTAGATGGCGGACGAAGACGTTATTTCTATTGATGACCAGCCTCCTATAAAGCGTAATCCTTTCTCAAACGCCAATGCCTCTAAGAACGTAGCACGATGTGGTATTTGTCTGAAATGGTTCGGTGACCATACTACGATGTTAACACATTTGCAAACGCATTCTGACAACTACGTTTATAAAAACTTTAGTTGTCGCGTGTGCAAAAAGACATTCAAAGAGAAATGGCAACTTCTGCGTCATGAAGTAAGGATGATGAAAAATTCTATGCATGGCATTTTAACACGTCATTGAAAACAGTTTTACTCACTTTTAAATTACAGGTCATTCATAAACGTGGTAATATGTCGTTGTATACATGTAATATATGCAACAAGTCCTTTACAGACAAAGATATGCATAAAGCACATCAGGCAACACATACAGTGGATAAGACATATCATTGTCCAAAATGCAACAAGATATTTTTCAAAGAATTCTCTCTTATGACCCATCAGTGTACAGGAAAATCCTTATTTAGTAAGAAAAACGCAACTTTAAATACAATACAGAAATCAGGGAACTATGGAGCAAGCAAGAAATATAAGTGTTCAACGTGCAATGCTGCCTTTGCTACGTCGCAATCAAGAAACTCGCATATGAAAATGCACACTGAAAACCAGAAAACTGTAAGAGTGGAAATCGTAATTATTTTCCCTTTGCGTTGCAAATATGTCACGCTGCAACCATATAATTCCAGATGCAATTACGGAATCAGGAAGTTAAAAAGGAGAAAGACTTTGAATCGATGCCCAAATTAACCCCTGAAACATCTGCAGGGACATCGGTGCCATTTATAGAACCTAAAGTTGAAATTAAAGAAGAAGCTGCACCTATCCCTGTTAAAAGAACTCTTATCAGGACAGCTGGAGGGTGAGCTGCGGTTTTTTTGTTTATTCCTCGGCTTTCGTATTTTTGACTAATTATATAAAATTATTGTAGGTATCGTTGTGGAGTTTGTCAGTCACCATTCGTTTTACGAGAACTTGCAGTTGCGCATCTTAGATCTGCACATCCTGTAATGCCGTATCAATGCCCTTACTGTAAGAAACGTTTTACGACACAATACATGTTTACGCATCATATTAAGACAGATCACCCTGACGAATAGAGAATGTCAGTTGTATTTAAAAGAAAATAGTACTTAGTTACGGAAGTTATTACAGGAATTAAAGAGACACACCAACTGTGTTGGCCTTTTACCCCATATCGTGAGAAATGTAGGTTACACCAAATCTGAAACATTTTCACTTAGGGAAAAAGTTCATAAAGTCAAGCATGTGTACAGTAACACAAAAGAACGTGTATTTTATACATTTATCACTAATGTTCCTGGAAAGTATATTGGTGCAAGAAGCTTTTTGGAGATGCAGCATGCCTTCTCGGAGACTCAAACTTCATGAATTTCAATGAAAGAATTCCTTTCATTATGACATGTGCAACAAACCACTTGTAGAATCTAAGAAAAATATTTCGGCACAGTCACGGTGACCACCGTAAGCCAAGCCTTAAATAATACAATTTACCACGGAGAACTGTATTCGATGAAACCGTAATACGTAGTATCTTACATGTTCTAGAAGGCAGACTTAGTATTAAATTTATATGTAGCTATATAACGATAGAGTATATTTTATAACACCATGTTTGCCTGTATCAGAATTTTCTGGCCATGTTCGATGTGTATTGTAGATAATGGTCGCTCTTGTTGGAAATTTAATTGCTTCTTAAGCCTTATTTGTACTTAGAGATTGTGTTTATATGATTGTAAGAAAAATAGTTTATTATTTTGTATTCAACAGCAATCTTTGAAGAGTAATTTCATCTTAAATGTGTACATTCGATATTATATAATAGGTTGGAAATAGTAATCACATTCAAATATAAAGACTTCGTTTAGAATTTTATGGCATATCTACTGACTTTTTATGTTTCATTGTCAAAATAACATTGTAAAATTCTAATGAGGTCTGTAAAATCCGGTATACATTTGGTATACGTTAATTACTTGTAACATGTATTAAACTGGATGCTGTTACATTTAACTGTGTTCGGTTTAAAAATTAATTGTTAAAACAAAAACATGTTACATGTAGTATAATTTGAATGAGGCAATCTTGTACAATTTACTTACTTTTGCCACAAACCATTGTTATTCTTTATGTTACTAAGTTTAATTAGCAGTACTGCTCTGCAACAAGAAACTGATCGATGAACAATTACCAGTATTGTTCTTCACAATTATATTTTCATATGAGCCGCAAATTTCTTCGTCCCTGAGTTACCCATTATCATGAAAAAATATATAATTATGATAGAAAATATGTTGTCTAGTTTCTTACTAAAGATCTTGCTCATTGTTGAATTTAAGTATTTTATATATACATGAATAAGGATCGTTTTTATAATTACAGTCCCATATATTTATGTAATCGTAACCGAACAAATGGAATTAATTGACGAGGTCAGTGTCAAGTATTAGCTATAAGCCATTGTAAATAGTCATATTGCATTGAAATGCCATTCAGTTTTATTCCGAGCTGTATCACTAATTTTTTATAATATTGCAAGGGGTAAGCAAAGCAAGTAATAAAACGTTTTAATAAAATCTTTGAAATAATTTACTATTCATTGCAGATGAATATAAAAAACGGAAGGATCAATTGCATGGATTTGTGTCACTGTATGTACATACAAAGTAATAGCCAGGTTTCTATTAAAAAAGAAAAGTTACAAATCATTAATAATGAACCGTGTATTGATCTTCTCCATTAAAAACAAGTAGATAATCAGTGATAATATTGCAGGTAAAAAAATTGATATGCTTTGCAATTATTGTAAGCGCAGAACACGTTTTAAACACGTTACAATTAATTTTGGAAGGTTCCTGATCATTGACAAATTGTTATTTTGAATGATGCCGCCGAAAATGAAAGACGTCAGTAATGTGGAAACTCTACTAGAGATGAGTTGGGAGATTGCTCACGGGCAGGATCAAGTGATCGCATCCTGTGCTGCCCTCTGGTTTCGTACGTTAGCTTTCACCGTTTTTTGCCCCCAAGGGCGGCGCAACAAATTTCTGATAGGAGTTCGTGCACTCGCGATGGCGGTATCATCTACCAGTCGTCGTTAGCGGCTCACGTACTCGTGATGGTACCATGCGGCAGTTGACGGTGGTGGCTTACCAACGCTTACCGCCACTGCTCGCTTTTGAAGGTAAGGGAAGAACACTCATGATGCTCCATTTCACTTTATCTACTTATCTACTACTATAAAGTACATTGTTGCCTGGAAGTCGACGTTATGCAGAGCTTTGGGACACGCGTCGGTGTCGCGTACAGAACCCTCATGCAGCGAATCTGCGTGAGTGCGATCGCTCCTAGAAAACTCAGCGCGTCTACGTATTATATGTGTATTATATTATACGTGTATGTGTATGCGTTCGGCGCTACACTCGAGGAGTATGCGTGAGAGTCGAATACTGCGAAAAATCCTCCCGAGGCTTACCTAACCCCGGATATAAGCCGAGTCATTTCGCGTATGATTTTTTTTACATTTCCCTACTAGCGTTATCGAGCGTTTTCGAGTGTTTTCGAGCATTATCGAGCGTTTTTCGAGCGGTTTCAAGCGTTTTCGAGCGTTATCGAGCGTTTTTCGAGCGTAGATAAGTAGATAAAGTCAAATGGAGCGTCACGAGTGTTCTTCCCTTACCATCAAAAGCGAGCAGTGTCGGTAAGCGTAGGTAAGCATCACGAGTACGTGAGCCGCCAACGGCGACTGGTAGATGGTACCGCCATCGCGTGTGCGCGAGCTCCTGAGAAATTCGTTGCGCCGCCCTTGGGGGCAAAAAACGGTGAAAGCTAACGTATGAAACCAGAGAACAGCACAGGATAATGGGGAACTTTCGACTGTACATTCATAAATTGTATCTGCTCAATCCGCTAATAATGGCCTCATTTTGGTATTGGTCATATTTATAATTTAATGTTTTTTTTATATACACTAATAATAAAAAAATCTTTATTTATAGTGTGCGTTATTAAAGTATATAGAATAGCCGAATGATATTAGTTAAAATACATTTCTACAAATGGGACAGGTTGACTTTTGACTTGTACTGAACCACTTGTACTGAAATACGAAAAGATAAAAGTATTAATATTTAATAATACAGGCTAAGAATTCAGAGGTTTCCACAGGCCCTACATTGCTTTTCACTCCCTAAGTTGACTGACCAAGAGTACGAATAACAGATCACACACGTTACCCAACGACAGGTCATATAATTCTATGACAGGTCATATTATTTTATAAAGGAAATGCGTGCATAGAGAAGCGTACGAGCCAACGTACTAATTATTTGGAATCGAATATCCATATCTTGCTTACCTCCTGTAGAAACCTCTGAACTCATTGTTTGACAAAGATTATGGTATAGTATTACCAAACAAGGGGTATGAAATCTTTTCCTGCAGGTGCGACAAGAGAGTTTTGGTATATGATACGTGACGCTGTGAAAGATGCTGAAACAAATGTAGCATTCCTCCACACCAGCGAACTTCTTATCCAAATTCTTTTTCCACAACAAGAGTCCATCCCAAATAGAGCCGTTCTGAAAGAATGGTTATAGATATTATGTTGAAACAATTATCCTAACGTGAAATTCGTACAATATTTTTGGCACTCGCATTCCTTCTGCCTTTTTCGGAGAAATTTACCTGGTGAGTCAGAAATATAGATAATTGCATGTGACAATTCCTCCAATTGGCAGCTCCACCTGCAAATTGGCCTGGTTCTACTGTGATAGGTCCTAATGGATGATTAATAGGTAGTGTCATACTAAGTTCCAGTTTGGTATCTTCCATTTGATAAACTGCCACGACTTCTCTTGCTGTAGGATGAATCTTCACCTGTCATTAAGACATATTAAAATACATACATCAACTACAATGTTTTACAAATCCCATCGATCGAAATAATTATAATATATGTAGGTTTCATTTGTGCGTTTACCTGCATATTCTCAATGTCAGTTAATCTGTTATTTTGAAGCTCTTCTTGGCATAGTACAGGACTCACATAGAGAATAGTAATTTTGTCCACAGCAGCGCTAACCCTACTATCTGTAGTACTCCACCACTGCCTTACCAATACAGGTAAATACCTTAAAGAGTTAGCATATAACCAACAAACCATATGATCCAGCCGCTCTTCTGTCCAACTCTCTGTTCAATCGGTATCATTTTATGCGTTACATTTGTTACGATATTACTAAGCCATGTAAACTTTACTATTAAATCGAAATTACCTTTTAAGGCAAGGGATGGAGTAGTACCGAAATATTTCATTAGTATTGATGACTTATTTTTATTATCTTGAAGTACTTCAACGGGCATCATTCTGAAGATGTTATTCAGTAAAGATGTGAAAACATTGTTCCTGAAAAAAAAGTCAATATATAACTTCAGAAAATAAAGGTAGCGAAGAGTTTCAACATTTAAAGAGCTCACTTGAGCACTTCCGCATATTGATAACGCAAATCGGCATGAGCGTGTGCACACATCTCCAAGACGATAGCCCATGAAAGTAGATAACCAAGGGTGTATGTATACGAGTCCGTGTACGGTTGAATCGTGCAGCTGATAGCATCGCATAATCTGTAGGAACGATTCAAACGTTTATTTGAGGATCCTCCATTCGGCTAAATATCATCTGCTTTCACGTACTTGAAATCCATCAACATGGTATTTACTATCTGTCCCATGCCTGAGACAACCCTTTCAAACTTCTGAATATTCAGGGAATCAGGATCGAAGGTTTCTACTTCGATAATTGATTTGTCACGCTCGACTAGTTCCGGAAGAGCGCTTTTTAGCAAGTAGTATGCTCCCAATTGAATACTTGGGACAGTCGACTTGATTAGTGCCGTGGAGAAATTAACTACTTCATCGGGAGTAACACCCATTAAGTTGTTACCGGTTTCTTTCTCGAAAAATAGTTTCTCGTCCACCAATCTTACTGCCTCACCCAAGTAATCCAGAGGAATGACACTGGTGACTAAAATGTCTTCATGATCCGACATCTCTGAAAAGAACTAATTATAAATCATTGCCGTAATACTTAAACGGTAAATTTCTAACATTTTGGATATCGCACATATGTTAATAAATTGTCACGATCGTGTAGATTATTACTAGGGGTAGTTGCGAACGATTCATTTTTAAAGATCAATGAAGCAAACGAACCAGCATACGTCATCCACGTTGATACGATACCGAATTGTATATCTCTGCTAAACACATTCTTCCATTCATCGAACAAATCAGGAGGCAAGTCAACCGAGGGCTCCGCTTCATATTTTTTCATTACACCTTGGACCGCGCAGAAAAGTTGACTTACAGCAATGGTTAGAGCTTTTACCTAAAAATAACATTTTCTACTGAAAATCCATTTTTAGCAGCGCATCTACGAACAAGCTTACGTGTAATACTGTACATACCCAGGAATGTTATAACTTTATTCTGATACTAAAAAATGTTTAAAAATGCATACCTTTATATCGTCGTAATAGCTTTTCGATTTGTTAATAGAGAGTTGCCACGAAGCCAAACATATTAGAACGCAATCCCAATGAACGGAAGATAATTTATCAGGAATAGTGGCTACAAATTTAGTAAGTAGTCGAACAACTTCGAGCGGCAATGTCACCTGTTCCCAGGAAACGTCGTGCATGTCTCTGCAAATCCGTTCAATAATAGTTATTTACGTATCTTGTTATGATTTCATACTTCGTAATAAGGAAATATATACTCAACTGATCCAGGAGCAGAAAGGTGGGATCCGCATAATAACGATTTATTAAGCTATTTAAAATGTTTAGTAATATCGATTCGTCATCCTGAGCAGTAAGCACGCTTCTTCCTACTATTAAAGTATCAAGTTCATCTTCCATGTTCAACGAAATTTTACCCAAATCCAAATACATTGACAGAATCTACAACGAAAGTTGATGTATTTTAATATGCAATGCATCTTCAAAACGAAAGTTTAATGGGAAAGTGTATGAAAGAGTTTTCCACTTTAGTGGAAAAGTTAGAACAGTTTTCCATTTTACTTGGATTGTTTGAAGATATGATTCCAGGGTCGAGTTGCCGTCAGAAAAGATTTTTTTATAGTTTTCTAAATACACCGTTGGATCGTTGTTTGAACCTAATTCAGTGCAGCAGAAACGAAGCATATACGCCCACATGCTAGAGCTCAACGACGACGATCTATAAGTAAAAAATAATTAGTACTAGCATTAAAATATTTTCTTTGCTTATATTCAAATTATTGTTCTTACTCTTCGAATTTACATACGGTATCCGTGTACACACTTTTTGGGATATATAATTTCTTTAAGTTTTCTAGTTCTCCTTTCAACGAAATAAGTAGTGCACTTGTATTAATATAATGTTTGGTCTGTAATTTAAATTGATTTAAGTCACTTGGAATCACATAGAAGAAGAAGAAGAAGCGATTACATAGGAAATTGTACTAATTTTGTAAATCGTACCAATGTTGGTAAAAACAAAATTCTAAAACTTACGGATTGGTAGTGCGATTCATAGATTTGACCAAGTACAGCAACGTAGATGACATTTTTCAATATCTCGGTAACAGTTGGCAAACAAATAAGTTGAAATTCCGTATCCACGTTGACTTCCCATTGACCATTATTTTGGTTAAGTGTATCTTTCTCCGTTCTTCCAAATAACTCATTCATTAATCTTGCACTAAGCATGGCCCATCTCAAACAATTAACCATATGATCGTTAATACTATCTTTAGTGTCAACGGGAACAAGACCATTGCAAACAGGAACTCTTTGTTGCAATTGGGATGCGTATAAATTGCCAGAAATTACTTCACCGTGTAGAACGATCGTAGAAATGTCTGTCAGCCATGGCTTAACATTTGATTCAATTAGGAATATCGGAAGAACGTCTTTGACAAAGTCCATCGAATATCCATCTTCGTTTGTAATTACTACCTCTAAGAAGTCAGTAGCACCTTCGATCCATTTATCCGTAAGTCGAAAATCTTGCCTAAAAACAATTTAAATATCATTTTATTTCAAGATTTAAAATGAAATTTATTTTAAGTAACAGTTAACGTTAAGGAAGAGAGAACCTTTCCAATATATCTTCCCATAATGTCTCAGCCAGCTTGCTGGTAATTTCAAGAAATTTCGCTTGAGAAAACTTCCGCCTCATTTGAACAAGTCCGTCTTTCCATGAGCTTTGTACAATATGTGCAAGACTGGTGTCATTGAATGATTGTTGTATGCTTAATTCAAATAGAGTTTCCAACATTTGAATGGCTGCCACCGATGGTGTTTCGTAAGACCACACGAGTGACAGTACATGTGACGCAAATTTGCATAGAGTTGAAAAGTTGCGCTGCTCGGTATCGTTCAGAGCGTGACACAATAAAGATGTAATGTCATTAATTGCCGTTTCACTTATCAGGGGACCTGTTGCGTGTGCAAAACTACACTTTGATACATTGTTAGTCATTGAAATGCATTCGAGCGTTTCCAATTTCATCCAAAATTTCTTCAAACCGATAAAAATATTCTGAAATGTTTCTTGCAGAGGACCGGCAACCTCTTATGACAGGTAGTACATGCTAATATCAACAAGAATATAAATATCTTACTTACCACCGTCATTAGTAGATTGAAAAGCGAGTGAAAGAATATTTCTATTCTCGTCCCCGTTAACATCTGTAATTAATTCCTTGGTGATATTAATCAATGCAGATGTTACCTCGGTTTGTAAACACCACTTCTTTACAGTTTCCTCGTCCCTGTTATTCTCCGACACCGCACAGTACACAACGCTTTTCAATATTCTGGGATCGTCAAGCTGGAAAATATATAAGAAAAGGTAAAATGAATTTCATTGGTTGGTGTAGTGAAATGACGAATTCTGCTATAAAAATAAGTAAATAGACAATTTTAATTGACAAACAGCTTCTCTTGCAGCCTACCTTTAACAACCACTCTAACAACTTCTCTCTATTTTGTGTATCCATATATTTACTGAGAGCAAAAGCTAATCGAAGTAACATGTCTGTTTGCTCGGAATTTTCGGTAAGCCAAACTTTAAATTTTTCTTGATTAACAATGAAGACATCGGAAATTGGATTGAACAAGTCCTTATTTTTAAAATTCGTAACGATGCTGTTAAAATATTCAATATCAGGTGAGGAGCGATCTTTGATAATTTTATTGAAACATCGAACGCCGATTGCGAAGACAAATTGATCAAGTTCCTTGAGAAAAACCGTATCTTCGGTAGATTTTGCAGACTTTATGTCATTGTGAATTACCGGTTCTGTGATTGCATCGGAGAATGTTACTCTCAGATTCTCACGATTCTTATTAGATACGTTTCTCAGATTTAGCAGCAGATTAATTTGCGAATGTCGAGCACGTTCATTGTCTTCATCATTTAATTTATCAAATAGAATGTCAAGTTCGGTCCAAAATTCTTTTATTAAGTGAACATAGGACGGATAATCAGTATTCGTACGATTTTTACTCCAATATCGAACCAAATTGGTTACTTGACCAAATAAAATCGATTTGATCAGAGAACATTCTTTAATGCACGACTCGAGCACTGGTATAAGCTGAAAAAGAAATGAAAACGTTTAGACAGGTATTCATACTAATTTGGGATAAAGACCTACTTAATTATTTAATCACTTATTCAACCCTCGGCCCATGTCGGTGGGTCATTCACATCCACGCAACCGGAATCTGTCCCCTGTAATATCTCCAAAGATTCTGTTCATCTCAATCTGTCTAAACAATTATGTAAATAGTTTTCCCCTTCTAAAATGATATTCCCTAATCTAGAAGTTTCAATTAATATTTCGCTACAAATTGATCTCATTTACACAACTTCAACATTATTTAATGAACCCAGTGCACAAACGACCCATGAACATAGCCTGCGTTCATCGAAAATAGCGATGTGAAATGAGAGTTAATACAATTACAGACACGTGGCACAATTATATTCTTTACCTGTTCTTTTAGTAGAATTTTGCATAAGAATATGTCGCTGCTATTAAGAAGAACAGCATAGCGCAAACATTCAATGAATGATGTAGTAACTGCTTGCATTTCTGATTGGCTCAGTTGCACACTCTTTACGGAGAATCTATGGAGAAATTAATAAAGCTATTCATGAATGATAATTCATTAAATTATAGAAGAAGAAAAATCAATGCTTTACCCTTGCCGCATATTATTGAAGAAGTTGGTATACAGACTATTGAGATCCGTATTAAACTTTGGAAACTGACTCACAAAAGGTAAAAGATTTGGATACACAATGCTGGCGCAACATTGCCCTCCACTTCTCAATACTTGCCACAATTTCGGTAGTACAAATTTGTCGATGTGTACAAATTCGTACCAATCCTAAAAACAGTCGAATCACCATGTATGTTTTTTGATGCTTTGGTTACTTTTTAATGCATACTGTATCGTGGATTAAATTTGTGTATTTAAAGTACTAACCTCAATTTTGCTTATAGCTACAAGCAAACATTCCCACACTGCAGCAAGTAGAATTGGGTCGGTTTCATCGAGACTATTAATAATGGATGTCATTGTCTTCTTCTTTTGATGTTTAATGAGCTTATTTGCTCGGTCAATGATTAATGTAAGAACGTTGAAAAAAGCAGTCTCTATCAACAAAACCTCGTGTTTAGCCAATTTCCAGAATTTGTTATTACTGGTAATTTTTTCCTGAATATTCAGGGTCTTTTCAACTTGATGCAAAGGAACTTTTGTTAGATACAGACAATAGCCTTGTAAGCTTGCGATTAACAATCTGTGATACCTTGCATCCATCCCTTCCGATGAAGTATTTCTAACGCGAAAAAACCTAATTAGATTAATGGATTTCAAATTGATACATATTATTGCCAAAGAGGTTTCATATTTACATGTTCAATAGTAATGACTGAGGTGTCTCCATTGTAATGTTGTCACAAATGTACGACAAAATTTCTTCTTGGCAATGAACCATTGCATTGATAATCTTATTTGGTGGAAATGTCTCCTTCAAAAGTATATAAATTTCCACAAATTAGACCATACTTGAAACGATCGAGTGTTAAAGACTATTTATATACACACTGAACTTACATTAAGGGAATTAGCAGCAGCTGAGGCTGCAGGTGGGTACGTATCGAATTGAGAGGTGAACCAAGGTCCAGCCAGCTGTTTTAAATAAATTGCTATACCTTTGCCTACTCGTCTGACAAGAGCTGTATGCGCTATGTGCACTCCCTCTCGAACCCTATGTTCTATATCCAGGACTAACCGACAATATATTCTAGGCCAAAATGGTAACACAGCTTCAATTTCTACTAATGAAACATTTTTGCACAACTCTGCAAATTCTTGAAGGGCCTATAATTAATTCATTATTTGCATAATAAAGTACTTTTAAATCCAACTATACTAAATACCTTTGTCTTTGTCGTGACATCTTTCTTATTTATCTTCTTTAATACCAATTGAAAATTGGAGCCAACATTATTTGCATCGACATTGTTACCATTATTTATTTCTAGACCTGGTAAGATCGGAATATAACCACCACTTTTATCTGCTGAAAATCCAATAAATCCAGGAACTGTTGCTCCGAGAAGTTCTGCACTACGGCTACTGCTAGATGGCTAGAATATACCATTTAATAAATGAGACGTATTACTAGAAACCAATGTCACTGGTTTCAACAGCAATGTCACACTCGTATAGGAGTACTAAATATTACCAAGCATATTGTCAAAATCTACTTGCAAATACATTTAACTGTTCATGATATTCATTAAAAAGTTTTACGACCAAATATAAATCATAAAACATTCAACTTAACACGTGAATGTTTAGGTTAACCAAAACAAGCATATACTTGGAGACATGAAATTTATTCAACTCACTCGAGCATTGCTCTTGGTCCGTTGCGCTTGTTTATTTTTCCCCATTACGTAGATTATTTCCAATCTGCCAAAAGCCACTAATTATTTAAAACAAACATATGTCAACGCCAACGAAGCTCGGAACTTCGTTCGTTACTGCTTATGGCTCCAGAGTCTTTATCGCGCAGACTCTATTGATGCCAACTTATTTCCTGACAGGGTTCTATGCCGAGGCTATAGGCCCTATTCAGTTTATTTCCTTGAAATGTGGTTGTATTTTCTGTTATTTCGCTGTTTTATTGTGTTATCTCTTTGTTTAGTAAAAATTTCACTTAATTGCGTAGTTGTGTATGTACATACATACAGTTGTGTAATTTCATAGCAGAGATGAGTTGGGAGATTGTTCACGGCAAAGAATACAGATGTCTCCAGAGACTGCCAGAGACTGGAGACTTCTGAATTCTTTGCTCACGGGCAGGTCGCGCGATCGCATCCTGTGCTGCCCTCTGATTTTGTACGTCAGCTTTCACCGTTTTTTGCCCCCAAGGGCGGCACAACGAATTTCTGGCAGAGATGAATCTCTGTTTCTGGTAGGGACTCGCGTACTGCGATGGCGGTGCCATCTACCTGTCGCCGTTGGCGGCTTACATACTCGTGATGGTAATACCATGCAGCTGTTGACGGTGGTGGCTTATCTACGCTTACCGACCTTCGAAACAACTCTCATATGATTTTTATTCATGACAGTTGGCTGAGTTAACCTGTACACCTTACAATCATCTGACGATGTTTATAAATATGCAAACTTGACATATTCTCTTTAAGACTTGACTAAATCGTTGTTAATGAACGATGTAGAAGGACGAACGTGACCGGCCACATTCCTGTAATGCAGCCTAAATTTATTTTGAAATAATTTGACTAGATTATTTATAGCATAAAATTAAGAAGATTGTAAAATGACAACTAGCCAAAGTGGGCACGATCACTCTCTTGCAATCAGACAAGAGATCCAACGTTTCGAAAGTGTACACCCGTCGATTTATGCTATATACGATTTAATTGATCTCATTTCTGATGCTCATATTGCAAAACAAATCCGAGAGCATGTTGTTGCTATCGAAGGTAAGAAATTCTTGAAGTTCCAAATTAATTTGAATCAATTCCTATTTAATACAGAAATTTGAAAACGTTTTCAGACTCATTCGTTAACAGTCACGAGTGGACATTGGCTAGAGACGTACCAGAGTTACATCTGGGAATTATTGGTTCTTCTGATTCTGGAAAGTCTGCACTGGTACATAGATATCTTACAGGATCATTTATGCACGAAGAATCTCCAGAAGGTGGTCGTTTTAAGAAAGAAGTTTTTATTAACGACCAGAGCTACCTTTTATTAATTAGAGATGAAGGTGGAATACCAGAGTCGCAGGTAAATGTCATTATCTTTAAACATTTCCTTGATAAATACTAAAGCACAAAAAGACCTGTCATTGCATTCAATTTGTATTTGATACTTTTTAGAAAAAAAGGATGGAATTATTACTTTTTATGGATTGTTACAGTTTTTGGCATGGATAGACGCAGTATTATTTGTCTTCAGTTTGGAAAGCGAAGAAAGTTTTTCGGTGGGTTGTAGTTATTACAATCGTATGTGTTCTTTCCGAAATATGTCTGACGTACCAAAAATACTCGTAGGAGTACAAGGTGGGTGAAATTTAGACGGATTATATTTTCATTAAATTTTAAATTATTGTCCTCAAATAATGTTAAATATAAGCATAGAATTGTCATCTTGTACTTACACTAATATCTACCATTACAGATTCAATTAATGATAGTCATCCCCGGGTTGTTAATGACATCAGACCGAGAAAGTTAGCTTGTGATCTTAGATGCCCTTATTATGAAACATGTGCTATATATGGCCTTAATGTTGAACGAGTTTTTCAAGATGGTAGATATTCCGCTTTCGTTAATTGTATTTAGACAGCAAATATAGTGATAATAAAAACAATTAACGTTTTAGTATGTCAACAAATTATCCAAAAGATGTCTGCAAAACATCCCCGACACAATGGACAACACACGGCAGAAAACGAAATAAAATACTCAATGCCCGTAATTACAAAGAGTGTACAGCTACCTACCAAAGATATGGATAGTGGCAGTCTAAAAGTAAATGTAAATTCGCTGTTCTATTGACTCAACTTCTGTGATTAATTACATAAATAACATGTTTAGATTATTCTAACTCTTGTTATTCTCAGCTATCGGAAAAGGAAGACGATATCGTTAAGTCTGCCCACGATAACATAGCTCAAACGGATTTAACGGTGACTAACGATAGTTTCCAATATGTGCAAAATCAGCATGGAGAGTTTCGTTCATCTATCTTAACCCCTACGACTATCAGGTAAGATTTTTAATTATTTCAAACGTAAACGAAGCGAATGTCTTAAAAAAGTAAATATTCGTAGTCTCTCTAAGGTACGTATCATTTATTGAATTTCGTTGCATACTTCATTTCTGTTAAAGAAAATTCCGACGAAAATCCAACTTATTTACTCCTTCAAAAAAAGAAAAATATAACATGGGGGAAATGGGCGTAGGTAGAGAAATTCCTGTTAAGCAAGGATATTTATTTAAAAGAAGTAGCAAGTCTTTGAAAGAGTGGAAAAAGAAATATGTTACCTTGCTAGAAGATGGACGACTGACTTATCATTCAAGTCTACACGTATGTAGCAATTGGTTATATATCGATGATCAGTGATATATTGATGATTGAGTGTAAATATTTAAATTGTGTAAATCTTACGTTCAGGATTATATGAATGATACTAATGGTAAAGAAATATTGCTACAATATGTAACCGTTAAAGTGCCAGGAAAAACTCCTAAAGGGTCCAAATCAACCGCAGCTCAAGGTTCGAACAAGGAACGAATGATAATAATTAAGAAATATAAACCACTACAATGATCATATTTAGTAAGTAAAACCCAATTGTAATTTGCAGAAGATAGTTTTGAATTTTCCATAATTTCATTGGAAAACAAGACTTGGCATTTTGAGGGGAATAGTGCAGAGGACAGGGATAGTTGGATCACTGCGATAGAACAACAAATTTTATCCAGCTTACAAAATAGTGATACTGATAAGAAAAATGAGACCGACACTTTCAAAATGCACTGTATTAAAAACAAAATATCCGGAAATGACGCATGCGTTGATTGTGGAGCCGCGAGTAAGTTCACAGAAATAATATTTATTAATGCTCTCTGTGGTCTATTCACAGTGCAGGCGATCTTATTATTTAAATAACTTTCCAGATCCAGATTGGGCCAGTTTAAATATAGGCGTTTTAATGTGCATCGAGTGTTCTGGAATACACAGAAACTTAGGATCTCATATATCAAAAGTTCGATCATTGGATTTAGATGATTGGTCGTAAGTACTACAAAATGCAACCTGCTGGATTTTTAAACACGCATGCTTCACATTTCGAACGCGCATAACGCTACATTATCGTTAAGCTCCTTCGGTTATTGTTCGTTTATAATATCACAGGGCAGGCCAACTGAGTGTAATGTTAGCTCTTGGTAATGACATAGCTAACAGTGTTTGGGAATATTGTTTAAACGGAAAACAGAAACCAACCGCAGATTCATCCAGAGAAGAGAAGGAACAATGGATCAGGTGGAAGTACGAAGAAAAAGTTTTCCTTCCACCAATTAATCCAAACATCTCTCTGGGGAAGTTATTAATAGATTCGGTTTGCCGGTATGCTCTCCTTTGTTCGAGTTTTCTCGTTTTAAACTGAGTAATAAATACACTAGTCGTGTCTTCCTTTCAGAGGAGATATGAGAGCGTTCACATTGTGTTTGGCTAGATGTACCCACGAAGATATCAACATTTCCGTCAGCGCGGAAGATCTGCGAACACCTCTTCACCTTGCTTGTGCTACAGGGAATCTGGCGATGGCGCAACTTTTAATATGGGTGAGTTCTCCGTACGCAAATATAACGATTGACCCGTTTGACAATCCGCCTTCGTGAACGTTCCCGTGACTCTTTTTAGCATAAAGCTAATCCGCAAAACCTCGATCATGAGGGACGTACGTGCATGTCGTATGTTCGAGCACTCGAGAGGACTCTCGACAATACGTCAGACTCAATGGAAATGCAGAAACTTCTCGAGGTATTGGAACAAGCGAGAATAAGTGGCCACGAAGATGCGGAAACGACCCAGTATTGAACAACTTTGTAAGGTGTTTTAACAGGAGACGCTGGTGAGTCATTTCGACGACACTTGTTATTATGTACTTATACAGAATGCCTCCAAAGGTTTTTGTGTTTATTAAGGGTAGGCACGATCGATTTAACGACGAGTTGATAATCAATCAGCCAAGACTCGCACCGGGTTCAAATCGCGATACCGAGACGTGTTTTTTAAGCAAAGGAACAGCCTTTGGTTTTTATAAAGGTAGATTTTGTTGAGTTGCATAAAATATAGCAAGCATTCGGGTAATCTGATTTGTATGCTTTTATTATTTATATAGACCCGGACATTTTCAATCATTCCACTGTGGATCGGTAGACAACGTCAAATCCAGTTACCAATGGCGTGGAGGAACTAGCACGTCATTAAAAAAACATCCAAGGAGACTTTAAGAATCTTGATTGTCTTATGGTCTTGCTTGTATACGCTTGATCAATACAACTAGACATTTACTGCGTTCTCTTCATCTTAACGTTTCTTGACATCACTTGGATTTGCTTTTTTCTTTTTCTAGACCGCGAGGGTTCCTTCAAACCACTGATAATTTAAAATGACGTAATTTTTAACCCACTGGAAAAGAATTGTAAATGCCTGATTTAATTCTTTTAATAACATTTACAACACTTACATCCCATTCGGGGTGCTTAGAATGGCTGTCTTGTATATGTACTTGTGTTTTGAACATTAGCTAAGACAACGATTACTTATACTTGTTTTGGTATCCAATTCAAATGGGCTTGACATTTGAAACAAAAACATTAACGAAATCGAGTGTGTATTGCCAATAACCAAGAAGTACAAAACACTCACAAATCTAACTATATTTATAGATTGAATGTATTTAAAATATGCTTTTACACTCTTTATGTTAACAAAATATACAGTAGTCTTAAAATGATTGTGTTCACATAATTACAATTCTTCCTCATTAAACACTTAAAAGTGTAAAAAGTGCCCCCCCTCCCAGTTTGGATCTCTGGCTAACTGAACGGAGATGTATGCCTTTAAGTTGGTAGGAGAAGTTCACATCACTGACGATGGAAAACACGCGATTTCCAGTAGAAAATCTTTGCCATTTTGTTTTCATACAATCTGTAGTTCCGGAGATATCAATGAAAATAAATCCTGTAATTTGATTGCTTGATCTAGGAAAGGCAATAACTCTAAAACTACAGGTCGTATCGAAAAACGGTAAAGGAACTTTCGATTCCGAGTCGTCCTGTCTCCCTAGAAAATTTTGTTAATAATCCCACTGCCCGATTAGTTGACTTCAATGTCTAAACAGACGGAAAATATTCAGCGGAGGATCGGCGGTCAGAAAATCCATTGAAACTGCGATTAGAGGAATGTAAGGTTAGGGGATACGTTTTCAAGGAATGACTGTACAGTTTACCTTTTTATGACGTTCAAAAGCTTCGACCTATAATTGTACTTGTTATCCGACGATACACCATTCAAGTAGTCAGCCATACTCGCTTTTCGAAGGTATTAATAAAGTCTCGTTTCTTGTAACAACAAGTTGACTACGACCGGCACGTGACTTGCCTTGTATGGGAGAAAATGCCGTTTGTATAATACGTCCATGTAACAATAGTTATCAAATATATATGTAACAAAAATAAAATATAATTAGTAGTAACGTAAGACATAATACTTGAAGATTATCCGAATTTTAGGATTGGTGAAGCCGGTGACCATACATTCCCTTCGAGGCTTAGTAAACGCAATACCAATCTGGAAGACGGTATTAACACCTTTATCGACACTGGTGCAATGATCGTCGCGATAACAATTGAATGCTAATTAAAATCTGCAGAACATATTGTGATTGTTAATAATTGTCCAACTCTCACGTACTTGTGTACGCGTGAAATAAAATTGCAATGACGATAAGCGCGTGAAAGTCCCCGAAAGTGGATGCATTCGAATGAGAAAATCCAAGGAATGCATCCTTGTCGATCGTACCCCACTCGGGAATGCTTCGAGTTTTCTCCATCATCCAGAAGAACCCCTTCATTCGAAGTTGCTTCTTCAGCTCCGCGCCAACTTCTTCTCGAATGCGTTGGTTGTAAGTGTTTAACCACCGGCGCTGCAACATGCAGGAGAGATAATATATATTATTCTCATTTAAATCAGAAAAAATTATTCACGAATAATATGAGCTGTTCCCTGCTTTAAGTAGTATCCGATTAAAGCCAACGAGCAAATTTTTGTTCGTGCACAAATTGCAACATACGTAAAAACACATACATGCGCCGGACTCAACATATTGACATCTATCAACTTGGGCTCGTAAGGGACCAACGTTGCATCCCTGAATTTTAGGAACTTCTGCCCTCCTCTTTGCTGTAAAAGGAATACCAACGCTGTCAGATTTCGTCGATTTGCGGACAGGTTTCCAAGTGATTCATATGAAAATGAAGTGTATACCGAATTGTCTGCCTGCACCACCTCGAGTACGTTCTCGAGTCGAACGCCGTATTCGCTCTCTTTGTAGTATCCCGGTTCGTTTGAAAAGAAATATCCCGGTTTCATCCGAACGGCACTGCAGCCAGAGGACACCGACCTCTCCCCTAAATAAGACACGCTGATGGGTGCTGAAAGAAAAGGTAAAAAGGTATTAAGAAAGTTACAAGTCAGAATTTAACGAATGTACGTAAAACGATGCCACCTACGTTCATGGACCGACAGAAAGTGACCGATCCCGTGGCCTGTCCCGTGCAAGTAATCCAAGCCGACACTCCAAAGTGGTCCTCTGGCGAGGGTATCCAGCTGATCCGTTCTGAGGTTACTCGGAAAGATCAAGGAAGCCAATTGAATAGAACCGATCAATACCCTGGTATACGCTTCCTTTTCTTCGCGAGTCGGTTTTCCGAAATGCAGCGTACGGGTCACGTCTGTGGTGCCGTCTGGAAAATCAGACCGTTAATATCGTTGCGTTCCCTTTCTGCTCTCTCTCGGCTTCCCTATCTCATTATTCGTAACATTTCTTCATCGTACCGAGATACTGTCCTCCGGAATCGACCACGAGGGTAGAAGCAGACCCAATCGGTACAGAAGTTGTATTTTTCGGTTCGTAATGCGGAAGGGCCGCGTGTGCTCCATAGCCCGCTATGGTGGGAAAGGCGATACCTCTGTTGAGGTCTTGTTCGAGTCGAAATTCGTTGGCCACTCGAGCCACCTGCAACTCGTCCCATCCCTCGGACCCGAGATAAATTTGTTCTTCCATGTAAGCAAGAAAGTCGCACATAGCTACCGCATCTCTCACGTGAGCCCGTCTCATGCCAACGATCTCGACCTCGTTTTTCTCGGCTCGCAACGCAATTACTGGCGACGCTTTTGCCAGTCGTCTCTCGGGAAGAATCTGCAAGAAACGTTTTACTTACTTGGCGGGAATTCGCGGGAATTCGCACGATGGGCCGTTAAATCGAACTCTCGGGGATTCTCTGGTCTCCAACTAAGAGAACGCGAACAAAGAAGGTGGAAGGAAGGCCCTCCGTGGCCGGTGGGGCCGCGGGCGCCAAGGCGTCCTGCGTCCCCGGCTAGAATGGCTCACAGGAGGTGGTGCGCCTTCCCAACGTTCTCCGACCAATAATTAAGCCGCCGGAAGGGCTCCGAGGGGGCACAAGAAGTACACGAAATCGTTGGCGCAGCGGTATAATAATAGACCCCCGGCCGGGCGCGATCGCGAGCTGCGTCTACGGAGGCGTGTCAGCTCGTCACGCGGGGATCAAGCTAAGCTCAAGAAGCTCTTCGGGGTCAGGGTAACATGGACGCAAGGGTGTAACTAAACCTAGGATTATCTCGTTTAAATCTTTTCGTCCACCTGGCATTTGTCCGCTCGTCTCCCTTTCTCGCAACGCCTGCAAGGTGATCGATCTCCTGCCCAAGAAAGTATTTTCATTTTCCATATCGGGAATTGAAATGTGTGTGTAACGTAAACGGCTAGGTAAAAAGAAAAGGAAAGAACGACATACAGAGGTGAAGATAGCCTGGGATGCTCCTTGCACATGACCGCAGGACGACGGCAGCCAGACGGTGCTCCAAGCTTGCGACGTCGTCCTTAAATCGTCCCAGAAAGCGGTGTAGTTATGCCACCTTGGACAGAGGATTTATTCTTCGTTATTACCGTAATAATAAGAGCGAGTACGTCTTTGTCCTTATCTCCACTCACTTGACGCAATCCGCATGGAAGCACGAGTCCATCTTTAAGTGCACGTCAACGGGGCGCAGAACTTTGTGACGCGGTGCATAGAGATGGACGGAGCCGTGAGTCACAATGGCGTAGGCCCTGAGCACAGGAGTATTCGGAAGATCGTAGCCACGTATATTAAGTAACCAAGCGATCTCATCCAGGGCCGTGACCACTAGGGCATCCGCTGACACCAATTCCATCTCCATCCTGATACGCTTGATCTTCTCCTGCCAAGGCCTACCTGCGTACTCCTCCTTCAAAGGGTAAGCGCCATGAGGGTTGTAATTGGGTCGATCCACCTGCCAGATCAAGTCCACCAGGTTGTTATGGACCGCGACCAATCTTACGGTTGAATTCGCTGGACACGAACACGATCGTTAGTGGGATCGGCACTGCGATTTCGGAACCGTATGGGCGTGCAACCCGACTAAATTCCTAGTGCCTTTTCCCAAGCCCCGATTATTGCGTTTCCTCCTCTAATTGCGTCGTTAAATTTACGAGTGCATCACACAGTTCGGTAGCCTCAATTACCCAATTCCTGTTCCCAAGCCGACCAAACGAACGCCGGCACCAGGGTAGGATCTGCGCCTATCCTGACTCCCTTTTGATGTCGGAACTCGTACTTGAGCCACTCCGTTATCGATGGTACCTGGCGATTAGCAAGAAAGTTAATTTCAAGCGTACGTAAAATCCTATTATAATCCGCACTACGCAATAACAATGTACATAAACCAGCGTACCAATGTTAACCCTCTTCTTGAAAACGAAATATCGCAACTTTATCGGATAACCATTTCCTAAATCTATTCGTTTTATTTTTTAAATAAGAAACCACTCAGAATGCCTTTCTTCCCTGCTCCTCGCACTTTGTACAAGGAGTGAACGATCATCGATGACCGAGAGCCTGACAAAGTCAAGCTCTGCAGTCGCCCTCACGCTCAGGAAGAAAGGCTATACCTCTTCATCGTGGTTGCGTTCGCTCTACTATTGGGTAGAGAGAATGTGAAGATATACTACAGAAATGATCCTGTGAAGTATGATCTTAACTAAACTCTGCTCCGACCGGCTAGATATACCGTTTCCGCGACGACTTCGCATGCGAGAAAGCGGAGCGGTTAGGCCGCCATCTATGCAGCGAACGACGATACTAAACCCGAAGAGCATCGCGGCAGGAGAGCGAGGCAAGCGTGGTTTAGTGAAACAGAGGATATTGTGTGTTCTCTCTCTGACTTATAGTTAGAATATAATGTCGCTTGGTCTCCCTCATGGCCAACAATCGGATTGGAGAGACCGACTTTACAGTTGCGTCATTTATACTTGATGTCTAATACATCGCGCACGTCGGACATTATCCAATGTAAAAATCAGGTTGAACGTTATCATTTATACGTAATTTTACGCTTCAAAGTAAGAACGGTAAATTATAATTACTTGCACAACATAACGGACAATAGTGCAAAAATAATTTGTAGTATTTTGCGTCCGGAAGAAGTAACGTTTCGGCTTACGTTCTCATGACCTGACTTCATTAACATCCACTTGCAGTCGAGTTGCTGATCTGCTTGAATATAGTATCTTCCATCCGTCCATAGGGCAGCTTTATCGACGGTTACAACGACTTCACCGGCACTTCCGTAAAATCCCGTAAGAAATTCCCTCCTCATGTCACGAGGATCAACGGTCTCGCTCTAACAAGAAAAAAGCATTCGTCAGTTTTAGTTTTCGTTTATTTAATGAAGTCTTCATGCTTTTCATACGGTTAATTTCCAATTGGAGATAATTCATTGAAATGGTTTTTCTTAAACTCAGCGCTAATTTTCAACAGTCTTTATATTTCTTTCTATGTATACTTTTGATTAGAGGTAAGAAAGGTATTAGCACCCAATTCCAATTCGTCAAACAATTAACCAAAGTATCGTACGAAAGTACCTCTACGGAGCCCATTTCAACGCGTTTTATGGACCCTTTAGTCTGAAAAAGTAAATTAATTTGCTACAATTTGACACAATCGTAAGGAAGAGAATTGACTTTTATTTTTCAATATCATGGAAGGAAGATAACGACTGGAACGAAGGCACTCAATTTATATAATTAATTTACTTAAAGTAAGTACCTGATGATCATCGTCAGAAGTGACAATGTAGCCGTCTAAAGGTGGCCCTTGAATAGCAGCGACGCGCACCATTTCGGATCTCAATTGTCTTAACCTTAACGAAGTATCCTGCCTGTCGGCAGGTTGATCATCCACGTGAAGGGCGGCCGGACAATTGGATCGCTTGGCCCCATTGTAATTAAGAGGAACTTCTATCACACCACGAGTATCGTGACTGGAGACTAAACCTTAAATGAAAGTAAACAAAGTTGTGTAAAGAAACTGATATCAACATTTTCATTTATTATACATCTGCGCAATTTAAACGTAAAAAAAAAATATTGCAAAAAGGAAGTGGAGGCGCCGGGTATCGATCCCGGTACCTCTCGCATGCTAAGCGAGCGCTCTACCATCTGAGCTACGCCCCCGATGGAAGACCTTGCTAAAAAGCCTAACATATACGAAGGATTAATAGTCGATTCGTTTACTTTGTAATAATTATCACGATGTTTGTGACTTTACTTTTCATAGTTCTCGAATGATCCTTTCTCCGAAATTTCTTCTCCCTTATTCTTGGACGCATTAAGTTCTCGCCGGACTGAACGTACTCCGTTAAGACGTTGATTGACCGAACATACGCGAACACACGTCCTCATGCAGTCGTCAGGTCCCACATGGTCCGCGAGGCGTCCCATGGGAATCTAGAGGGTGTGCTGAGTGGTGTACCCGTAGTAGGTGAACATAGCAGTCACAGAGGTGAACCGTTCCGTACCGGTTCATCCGCTTCGCCTCGCGTGTTTGCCGAAGCATGCGTAAACCTATTTACCGAGGGACGGTAGTTTACGTTCCAATTTTTTTCTCCTTCTAAACAGGATGACGAATGAATGCGTGGTAATAATTCACTATTAGATGAGCATATCGCGACGGCTACACACACTCGTGGTAATGATATGCAACGGACGAAGAGGTGGAAGGCACGAAATCCCTCGATACGTACCCTTCTTCTTCGTCGCTATCCGTCTATGCATATCGTTTCTTTCGGTTCTCAAATGCACGGTGTACAGTAGTTGAATGCGTCGTGTCTCGACATCTAAATTACTCGGTTTATTTCGACGCATTGTAACTTGACTGTACAAATACGATGGACAAACGGGAGCGAGAAGGTCGCACAGTCGTTCCGTGGCAACAACCCACAGTAATCTACTTGAACGTTCCCCAGGACTTTCTCCGCCTCACCCTCTCCTGCTTACGGCCCTCCGTCGATGTTCGCGAGGAAACGAATTTTTGAATAATAATCATCCACAGCGACAACGACTGTGGCTCATTGACGCCGAAGCGTGCGTCTTCGGGGGGTTTTACCCTTCGGCGTTACTGCGGTCGTCGGTTCGCCACTCACTTTGGCGGCTCGAGGCGACCAGGACACCAGAATGGAACGGGAGCGTCACATCTCGGGGACTCCGCATGGGGCTCCATAAATCGGATCAACCCAATCATCCTGTACAGTCAATGTGGATTCGCGATCTTTCCCTGGCCTGTTACCCGTTTAACTTTCACCTAAAAGCTAGCATTACTTTCGTGTCTTAGATCTAAAACGTGAACCTTTTTCCCGTTATACGGAAAAACATTTAATACGCGTTCCTAGGACGAAGAGTTTCTATAGTAAGTGGAAGAAAAAGTAGTATTTCGAATATACAGGTGGAGTTACGAGTCGGTGATCGAAATTGCTAGGTTCCGTCGAGCACCCGAGCTTGACCACGAGAAGGACGGCAGTGTCGGAGGTATTGCATTTTTTGTGATATGCTTCCGGGTCGTGGTAGTCGCTGGAACATCTATTCGCCACTCATTTTCGGGTCTTGCAACGATTAGGCTGACACGAGTACTACGAGAAGCGGACTGAGCGTGAATTGGCATCACCGATAAAAACGAGTGCTAACTCGTGACGTGGTACTTCTTCGCGCTCGCGCAAGCATGACAATGATTGGGAGACAAGCTGCTCGTAGTAATTGTAAATATCGATCGCACCTTTTAAGGTGTAACGACATCTTGAAATAAGGAAAAACGACACATAGAGGAAAAGGACAGCAAGAGATGATCGAGATGCTGCAACAGTGGACCACGTCTCGAGATGATCTTCGACGTCCATCTACCAGGGTGTCATACGAGAGTAGCAGGTGTAATTTCATCCGTCGCCCCTGGACCAGTTTTAATCCCTTCTTTTGCTGCGTTCCCTTTCCCTTATACTCCCTGCCTTTTCCTCTCCATTCGTCTCACCGTCTCTTCATCCGAATTAAACCTCTCGTTGACCCCCTTTGCCGCCTCTTCACGTAAGATGTCTCGATCCTCCAATATTTCCACTAAAGGAGGAGGCTGCACCTTTCCGTCTCGACTCCGGGAAGAGCGACTCGTCTCATCGGTCTTCGCCGTCACCCCGTGGAATCCTTATCGAATACATTTCATTCAGGAAAGTGCGCTCAATCGACGAGGGGCGAAGCGATACGTGCGCTCGAGATAGTAGAAGCGGAGAAACTACCCTCTTCTCGACTCGATCTCTCGAGCCGGAAACGACTCTCCTCGAGGGTTCTCTCGTTAGGAGTGCCGACGCAACCCGGTGCGCCTCGAGGCTCTATGCAACATCGGGGTTGCCTCACTCCGAAAGGTGGTTCTCGCGTGAACCTTATCTTAAAATCTTCAACCTTTGTTTATTCGGCTTTTCGGCTTCGAACCTATATCGCGCGTACCTGGTTTTTCACGCCGATAAATCGAATTTACCGACGAAGCATCAGCGGCGGCATCGGCCGGCGCCAGAGCAAAGAGAGAAAGAAACATGGTTCCGAGGCGGAGTCGCGGGAGCACGTATGCACCGGGGTGTCGCAACCAGCTGGTGCTCCATGCAGCCCTGTTCGCAGTGAGACGCGAGGCTGCTCAAGTGGCCAGCCGGCCGGTACAAGGCGGGGACGCCCGTGTCTCCAGGCGCGTCCGCGCCGAAGGCGGCGCCGCAAAAAAGGAGGGCCGGCGTTTTTCTCGGCTCCTTCCGAGAGGTGAAGCGTCGCGGATACCCGCCAGCGGAGCAGGTTCGCATCGCCCCGAGGAGGCGGCCGCCGCGGCCGAAACCGCGTCGGTGCCCCCGCCCGGCCTCCGGCCGAGGAGGGATTAAGGGAACGGCGGGCAAACTCGGCGCGCTTCGGACCATCGATGGATCGGGGGGTTGCGAGGGCGGGGCACTGAAAACCGATGAGACGAGGAGGTCTTCCATGGCCTACCTCCTGATCAGGAACGCAGGATCATTGCCGGGTCGTCCCGCGATAATTAGATCGCAACTCGGCCACTCGAAGGGACAGTTCTCATAATTTCTTTTTCGGGATTCGCGTCCCTTTTGCTTCGCGAGAACTCGACGTACCCGGAACCACGTTCCCGTTGTGGTGCTTTCCTGATACACCGCAGCTAAGCGTTCGGAAGGGTTAACCCAGTCGGACGCGCAGCAGCGAGGAAAGGCGGTTGAACGTTACTTTCGATTTCTTCCAGGCCATTGAAACGCGACTCTGGCATTCGTCGAATTCGCGAACGACTCGTCTATTCGATCCTATCTCTGGCCGATTTCTCTTTCTCTTCTTGGCGATACGAGAAGACTCGCTCAGCTGCTTCGTCCGATCCTTCTTACTTATCACGTTCCCTGGGGCGTATGCGCCCCACGCTGAACTTTCCGTTCAAGCCATTTGGTATTATCATTGTAAAACGAAGAATTTTTTTAAAATTCATTATTCAGTCAATTATGGGCATCTTAATGGTATTGCTGATACGCTCATTTGATTGTGGGGCGTATACGTCCCACGCGGCCTGAACGTAAAGTCTTAAAAAAATGGTCTGGCAGGGAACGTGTTAACGAAGGAATTGAATCTTGCCTCGACGGATATTCATGGGCGTTAGCTATCGGAAGCCCATCGACGGTCGACCCCCGATAAGAGAGTATCGTTGTCAAGAATCGAGAATCGGAATTCCCGATTGGTTCTTGGAGCGGGCTGACATACGGGACTAGAGGTTTCGCGCCGGTCAGACCGAGACTCGCGGAAACGTCCGAGCATCGCGTGGTTCTCCTAATGCCTCATTTCCATACACGCGGAATGGCCTCGAGACGGCTTAACCAATTAGCTTAATGCCTTAACCCTAACGCGCCTACCGCGTTCCGCGCTCCGCGCGCCTTCCGCGTGCTTTCCGCGTATATAGAAATGAGACATTACGTCTTCTCCGCACTTGGAAGGCTACAACCGGCGACTCGTTATTCCGACGAACGTTAAGGTGAAGTGAAACACGTCGAGGAACTTGATCGACGTCAATAAAGAAGATTTCTCTAAATGCCCACGTTGCCGACGTTCGTTTTTATATTGACAGCTGGGTCGAATTATATTGGGTATTGTACCAAATGGCATACTCCACCTGTCGTTTTCGTACAATAAATATCAAGAAATCGAAGTAAAACTCCAGAAATCCTCTGGATTCATGCTTTCTGGGGCCCTAATTCGCTGCAGAGGGACACCCTGCGCCATCTGTGATTTCCAGGTTAATTAAATTTTCCCTCCGAGATCTCGTATTCCCATCGTTTTAGCATAGAAGCGCATACAACACTTTTTTTGCCGTTATCCCGTTCAAATGCGAGTTTATCGATTACCAGAGTGTTTTAAATTGTCGTAAAATTGTCCTGACCCTTTCGTTTCTCATATCAGAGCCTTCGATAATTGTATATTCATAGAAATATGAGAGCTCGACGCCATTTTGGTTCTGGTCTGAGCTAAGTTAAAAAATCTTTTCCAAAAATCCAAATTTTAAATGCGTCAGGACAATTCTTAGATGATCAGGAGTGACGTGTCAAAGTTTCGGACAGTTTGGTCTAAGACCCTTAAAAAAAAGTGTTGTATTCGAATCGACTGATTTGAAGGGCGTTTCACTTCACCTTAACGATTAAAGAGAAGAAAGATTCAATTATTAATTACGACAAAGAAGAGGAGACGACTCGCTCCACTCGGAAGGCAGAGCCACGGACGAACTCGAGTCGTGGCCACGTGCTCTCGAGCGACGGACGAGGCGTCGAGTCGATCGATCGAACTCGCAGCGATATCGCGAAGAGCGCTCGAAACGACCAGCTAGTGGAAACTCGACCGGAAACGGAGCAGGCGAGCAGCGGCCCGAGGAGGTGCGAGCGTTTTTCGACGCCACTCGCCTCGGCCTCGCTAATGCCACGCGGACACTCTTTGCC